GGTGGCTGTTAATTTGGCACAAAACAGCCCTCTTTATCAATGGGCTCGCTCACAAGGTAGCCTGCGGCCCTGTCTCAGCTGCCAGTGCCCGCATAGGTCATAAGGAAAGGACTCACAAGGGTCCACCCGAGAACCCTGCCGCTGTCAGGTAAGTCTGGATAATTTTCCTCAGGTAGGTCCTGTCATGCTGACAAAGTTCGTAGGACCAGTCCCTTTTGTTTGGGACAGGAGCGATGAGTTCTCGGCCACCATCACCATCCCGCTCTACCTGGCATCATTCTGAGCCATGGGCTATGGAGTGCTTTATGCCTCCACATACGCTTTACAGATGTAGTGCTCCCTCGAACTCAGCTCCAGCATCATAATGTTTGCAGCCTTGACCAAACCTGCGGTTAACGCATTCAGGTTTGGGACTCACATGAGTCGCTGGGGGGTGGAAGAGTTTCCAACCAATCTTCTTACACCCCTCTCGGTTGACGCAGATGGTCACACTCCTTTACTGTTAACAGATGAGGAGTTCTTTGGTCGGCGTTGTTATTTGTTTTTGGTCGCTGTGTAGCCACGTACTCCTCTGCCATGAGGGCTTATCACCACTTATGTAGTTTGGTTCTGCCCACCCTGCAGGTAGCTCATGTGCATGCTTACAGTTCAGGCCTTCCGCATCTTTGTGGTTAATAGCCAGGGATCAGCCTATGATTGCTGTGTGTACACAGCAGGTACACACACGGATTAACATGTATGCTCATGCACATACACCTTTCCTTCTTGCTCTAATAACTCTGTACTCTTTGCCCTCCTTATCCTCTGGTCCGTTACAGAGGCTGACTGGGAGAGCCAACCTGAGGATAATCAAGTCTCAACCATTCCCCAAATACTTCTAGACACCTGTTTATGGGATCTTCCTTCTCCTTGGGATTAACAGATGGAAATAAGATGAGGACAGTTAAATCATGATAACCCTCTCATTACCATGACTCCATCTTACAAAATCATCTGCAGGCTGCAGCTCAGCTCTCTAGATGGCCTCTCCCTGTCGTTTCATGTAGATACTAAACAGTGAGCGAGAGAAGACAGATCCCTGAACCACGGAAAAGACCAGTGCTCATGGGACAGAAAATGACTCCACAAACTACTTTCTGGACTTGCACTCTCCAGAAACTAATGGAACCACCGTGACACCAAGTTCTCAAGTCTCATGCTTAATAACACTGTGGTTGATGGTATCAAAAACAGCTGAGAGGTCAAGGAGAAGCAGTGGAGTGGCACTCTTCTGTTCATCTGGTAAAGGTCATCGACCTGTAAGTAAGTGAGGCAATTCCAGTCCCAGAGCCAGGCTGGATGCTACTCTGGAACTTATCAGAAGAATCAGTGGGATGGGGAAGGAGAAAACTGATCCAGCATTCCAGGGACAGGCCCCCATTGGGGAGGATATTCCACAACAGCCCCTTGCAGATGTTTCTTCTCAACGTGAAAGGACTCCATGGGTGTCAAGGGCCCTACTGCTACTTAAGTGTTCTACCTCGTCTACATTCAGTAGGTGGCACCAAGGGGGCTAAGATGTAGAGATATCCAGTGCGGTGTGGTGGATCGAGTGGTGGATGATCCCCACAATCTCTTCATGCAGTTGTTGGGGCAACAATACTCTAAACGTCCTTCCCCTCATAAATACATATAGTGCCTCACCTGATGGAGACACACAACATGGCATCTGCTGATGGCACAGAGAAGAGAAGCTGATTAGTCAGGTCCTAAAAAGTATCTATGCTACACCGTTATATTGGTTTGACATCACTTTAACTGTCATGCTTCCCAGGATTTGTAAATTGATGAGATTCTCTGCTAGGGAACTTTAGCACATTTCCTTGATTTACAGCAGGAGCAGCCTTTAATGACTGGCTGTTGAAGAGGGAATTTCAAATGGACTGTTGTGCCTTGCTGCTTTGAATGTATTTTGGTGCTAATTGTGTTTAAAGTAAAGCAGTGTTGCTGCTTATACGCCACCCATAGTCCTTAAAACACTTCCTGGCCAATTTACAATTTAAGTATGCAGGCTACACAGTGTCCCCCCCCCACAGCCCCCAGTGAGCTGGATACTGTACTTAATTTACTGACCTTGGAAGGATGGAAAAGTGGGAGTAGAGTCCTGACTGCAGTATTACAGTTTAACCATTTTGTTGGGTGGCATTTATTATTTATTTATTTAAAATATTTTTACCCCATCTTTCTCCTTAAAAAGGATCTAAGGTGGCTTACATTCTTAAGGACAATGTTTAAATCTAAAAACAATAGGTTTACTCCTTTTATAATATGTGTATATTCTCCGTTTTCTGCTTTTAAATATTGTCTTTTAATGATGTGTGCCGCCTTGGGTTATTTTTCAAGGAAAAAGACAGGGCAAACTATTTTAAATAAATAAAGCCGTTCTGGAGGAGAATTACAGTTTACCTTCCCCAAACTACAAAGGGCTAGTTGTCTGCCTTGCGTGTTGGTGTCTGTGCACGTGTGCGGTGTCTGTGTAAGTACAAATAATAATTTAAAAAAATCTGACATTTTATTTTCAAATCCGGGCCCCATGACATGAACTACTACTTATGAAAGACTGAAGCAAGTGTACCTCGCTCAGCCAGTGAGAACTATTTAGGCTGCTCGCTGGAAACCACTTCCCGGCGCTGCCTCCCCCACCACCACCGGGCTGCTCCCCAACCCGGAAGCCGCGGGGGGACGGGGGCGGCGGCCCTCCCTGGCGTGCCGGCAACGCGGGAGCAACTCTGCTGGACCAGACCCGAGGTCGGAGAGACACGCGTCGAGCAAAAGGCGACTGACGGGACCGACGGAGCCCTGCCTCGGGTTGGGGAAGTCCCGCCTTCCCGACCTATCCGGACCAAGTTCGCAAGGACGTGAGAAGCCCGAACACGTGGACGGCCCGCAGGAAAAGGGAGAGAAAAGGGGACCGGGAGTAGCCGACGCCGCCTCAGCACCTACCCGATCAGCTGGTTCCGCAAAGCCAGCGTCTCCAGGCGGCTACGGGGTCCGGCACTCATGGCTGAGCCGCTGCTGCTGCTCCAGAGGCAGCGAGTGAGCGAGCGAGCGAGCGAGAGAGACGTTTATGAGGGCCCCCTCAGCAAACGCAGGGCTGCCTTTTCGCGCCCGCCAGCCCCAGCCCCCTCCCCCCGGTGTGGCTCTCGCCGCCTCTGGAGCCGAGGCAGGCCTTCCCGCGGTGCCTCCGGCCTCTGCTCTCTCGTCCCCCCACGAAGGCGGAAGGGAGAGGCCGCGAGAGGCAGGAACCCGCGCCGCGCCAGGAAAAGTCGTCTTTGCCAGACGCCCAATAAGGTTTTCCAGCGGTCCTTTTCAAGGCACCCGATGGAGAGCGCTTTGTTCCGGCGGGTTTGTTCTGCCAACATTTTCCTAGGGAGTCAGAAAGGGGTATAAACAGACGAACAAAGCGGTTTTGTAACTTGGGGCTGCAAAACTGTGCAGTACTGTACTTCCCTACCGGAGAGTCCATCTCACGGGCTGCAGTGAGACTCACTACTGAACTGACGTGTGTGGGTTGCCACTTGTCAGTCTTCTAGCCACGATGCTAAGTATACAAAATAAGAAGCACACAAAATGCTTACACTTGAGTGAAAACTAATTTTGTTAAGAATCAGACCTTACCTCGGGCTGGGCTCGTAAAACTGGAGGAACCTGTGACTCTCCAAATGCTTTTGGCCACAGCATTCATAATCATTGATCCCGGGCCATGCTGTCTGGAACTGGCAGGCGCTGTAACACAACGTCTGGAGGATGTTCCTCATCCTTGACTTGGGTTTCAACTTTTTTTCTCTAGATGTTTTGGACTTCTGCTTCCGAAGCACCAGGCAGCATTTCTGGGAGTTAAAAGTTCATCCTTATCTGCCGTGACCAATAGTCACCTTTAGACGTGTCTTTTCCAGTGGCAGGACTTGATGTCAGCTTGTAGCACAAATGAACAACTTCTCTCAAATGACCTGATAATGATCTACCATTAAGTCCAACATCCACAGAACCACATTCAGTGGTTTCCAAAGAGGTGACAAACTGTTGCAGCAACAATAATGAATTTTATTATGGAAGGAGCTTCATGGAGTATAACCTACTTTATCAGATGCTAGGAATACTGTATTATCCAGAATTTCAGGTATGTATACAGTACACAAGATTAAGGGTGGAATCAGAGACAGGCAGGCAGAAGGAAATAATATGCGTAACTGTGAAAGAGAGATAAAGAAAAAAGAGAAAGTGGAGAGTGAGACCTCCCCTCAACAAAAGGAGAGAGAGAGAGAGAGAGAGAGAGAGAGAGCTTGTAAAAAGGGGTGACTATAGAAGAAGGGGGAGAGAACTGAAGGAGGAAAAGGAAAGGACAGGTTTGTTTAGTAGAAGAGAAAGAGGGAGAAAAAAAGGGAGGAGTTAATTTTACCAGTATGGGAAGAAGATATACAGGATCAGAGGGGGAGGAGACAATTCAGAATCTCGGGAGCAGGAGAGGAGAAAGACAAGAGGAGAGTGGGAGATAAGGAGAAGGATGCCGAATATGAAAGGATTACTAGAGGATTTTCCTAATCTAAAGACCAGAGGGTTGCTGCCTAATCCAAACACTTCCAAACAGAGAGAGGTTCCATTAGATTCATTAGAATGGACAGGGTCATTGGAGGAAGGTGGTTTGCTGGACTCTGCGTTCAACCACCCACCTCTGGAGGGCGACTGAGCCAGACATCCCTGCTGTGGGACCATCTGCGAGGTGAGGAGTACACCCCTGAGGAAGCCAACGGTTTGGACCAGCCCCTTCTTAGATCCCATCAACTCAAAGGCAGAATTATTGACACCGCGTTATGGACAGCTGAACAATATTAGTTTATTTGAACTGGTTGAGGTGATTGTTGATTCTCCAAATGTTCAGAACAATAAAGTCCTTAATGTTCAAAAAGTCTTCCTTGTTGTTTCCCACCAAAAGACAGGAACTGCTCCAAATATATAACAAACCTAATCACAATAAGCAGGACTGGATGAAGGTAAGCAAACTGAAATTTAGTCCAGACAGATCAGGGAATAGAGATTCAACCTCTGCTGGATGACTTTTTCCCCTTAAAAAAACAAGCTTGCAGTTTGGGAGTACTGACTCCTTCACTCATCTCAGAGCCTTTAAGCCCAGGTCTTGGCAGTGGCGAGGAATGCATTTGCACAGCTCAAGTTAGGATACCTTAATACTGTATGTCTAATTGGACTACAGCGACACATGTGTTACCCTGTTTTCCCCAAAATAAGACAGGGCCTTATATTAATTTTTGCTCCAAAAAAGCATTGGGGCTTATTTCAGGGGATGCTTTATTTGTTTCATGTATAACGATCTACATTTATTCAAATACTGTATAGTCATGTCATCATCTGGTTTCTGCACAATGGTGGAGGGCGGGGTTTCCCTTAATCAGGGTTTATTTTGGGAGTAGGGCTTATATTATGAGCCTCCTGAAAAATCATACTAGGTCTTATTTTAAGGGAACAGGGTAGTTACATCCTGTTTGATTACTGCTCCGTGAGGGGGCTACCTTTGAAGACCATTTGGAAAAATAATTTGGTTGAAAATGCTGGTTCTATTTACTGGTTTATTTTACAAGGAACATATAACTCTGTTGCTACAGCAGTTTCACTGGCGACCAGTCTGTTTCTGAGTCCATTTCAAAGTGCTGGTTATAACTAATGAAGCCCTATATCATTTGAGTCCAAGCTAAGATGGACCATCTCTCTAAATAACTTTCCTCAGGACTTGAGATTGTCCCAAGATGCCTTTCTCTTAGTCTCATTGCCCTCACAGCTATGCTTGATAAGACATCTGTGAGCAGGCCTTCTCAGTGTTTGCCCCCAAGTTATGGAATGCCTTCCCCCAAGAGGATGGGACGCCCCCCTTCTGTTTCTGGTGACAGTTATAAACATTTTTATTCCAACATGGTTTTATATCTAATTGTAACATAGTTGCCTCATGTTTACTGCCAAAATATCCTTTTTAATGCATTTTAAATGATTTTATATTTTTACATGCTTTTATATAACAATTGTAACGTATTTAAGAAATTTTAAATGTTTTTTGTGTGACATTTTAAATGTTTTTAACATTATTTATCTTGAGTCCCATTGCTGGGAGAAAGGTGGCAGAGAAATGCAAATAATGATAATAATAATTCTCTGCATTTAACAATAGTCTACTAACCCACACACCACTGAATATAGGTACATACACACATGTGGAATTCTGGAGTAAGGTGAATACAATCTACAAAACAAAGTTTATAAGCCTGTAAGGTGATATAGGAATATTTGTTGTTTTACCCTTTAATAGGACGTTATTTTCTTTAAATAAGTGTTATAGAAATTTATTTAAAAGAGGTCTCAGAAATATAGGCTTCTTGTTATATATATTAATAACTGTGCTGTCAATTCTGATACTGTATGTCGACCCTTTTTTGAGTTTTCGAGGTAGTTTACCATCCCTTTCTTCTTGGGGCATCCTGGGGCTGTGCAGCATGCTCAAGGCTATGCAGGCTGGCTCTTCTCCTGGAACGCACAGTGAGGAATCCCAGCTTCTGGCTCCACAACAAGATACCTAAGCCACTGAGCTATCCAGCCAGGCCTCTTATTATATACCAACTTACTTAAAATTGGTTAAGCAACCAAGATGTAACACTATACATCTGCCCTTAAAGGTTTCCCATGGATACCCACCACAGTGCACACCTTCTACAATGTGATACAAATCTGTTAAAAATTGACTCAGTTATGTACATTGAGTTACAGCCCAGTAAGTATTCACAGAATGAAGCTGCTTCATGAAAATACAAGCATAGACTCATAATAACTACCTTTTGTCTTTACAGTTGTTGATGGTGCTTTTGAGGAAATGGGTGTTGGTAACACAACTCTGACTGGGCTAAAATCTTTATTTAGTCATTGGTTTACATAGGCAGCTCCCACTTGCAATCCATGACATATTAAAAAGGTTTCCCAGTACAAACTATAAAATAATATGTTCAGGTTCTCAAAAATATATACTTTATAAATTTATATTAAATATCTGTTATTTCTCTGTCTTCCTGTTCTACCCAGTCTGTTTTATTTTCCCCTCCATTCATTTCTCATCTGCCCACACCTTCCCTCAACACTCCATATGAATGAATGGGGGTGTCTTGACTTTTTGTTTCCTTCTTTCCCCATCTGTGTTATGTTGGCATCTTCTGCATTATTTTGTGTTCAACATTCCCTTATATGTTCCTGTGCAAGCTGCCCAGAGTATTTTATTTATTTATTTATTTAATTTATACCCCGCCTATCTGGCCCACCGGACCACTCTAGTTGTTGTTTAGTTGTTAAGTCGTGTCTGACTCTTCGTGACCCCATGGACCAGAGCACGCCAGGCCCTCCTATCCTCCACTGCCTCCCAGAGTTGGGTCAAATTCATGCTGGTAGCTTTGATGACACTGTCCAACCATCTCATTCTCTGTCGTCCCCTTCTCCTCTTGCCTTCACACTTTCCCAACATCAAGGTCTTTTTCAGGCAGTCTTCTCTTCTCATGAGATGGCCAAAGTACTGGAGCCTCAGCTTCAGGATATGTCCTTCCAGTGAGCACTCAGGCTTGATTTCCTTTAGAATGTATAGGTTTGTTCTCTTAGCAGTCCAGGGGAGTCTCAAGAGTCTCCTCCAGCACCACAATTCAAAAGCATCAATTTTGAAGTAGTAGTACTTTGTACTAGATGGGTGGGATATAAATCCAGTGAATGAATGAATGAATGAAAACAATGATAGTAAAAACTATCTGTACAAGAAGCAGTTTATTTTAAAATTATTCTGATTAACAACTCTTACTATGAATTAAAGCACAAAACAGTGGAAACACTGCCAAACAGTGCAGTGTCTGTTAAATTTACAAAACAAGATTGATCAGTACAAGACTATTTTATTCAATAATGCATAATACTGTATTAATGCCTTCATTTTATCATAGCTGTTCCCCATCATACACAACTACTATAATACTTGTTTTGGTATGTACATATTAAATTCTTTTTATAAACATTGCAACCAATTAACAGTCAAACACGTTTATGGCATAAAATATTCTCCTCTAGCTTTGTTTTGAGGCAAAGTCATACATTTTATTTGAAGGTGAGAAGAGGGTCCCCTCCCCTCAATATAAAGCATGTAAATACATTCCATAAAATGAATGAAGAGAGACATAATCTTCAAAGCCTTTATCGATTTCTGTTGCTCAATGAATGGGGTTATTCATATATGTGAAGATTTTATGAGATCAAATTCCATCATAACTAAAGCATGACAGATACAAATCTCAGTCCTTTAATTCACACGCACAATCCTATACTTTGTATATACTTCCTGAATAAGATTTTACTGAATATAAAATGCACAGGGTACCATGTTCATCTTTACTGATTATTGGACTTAAAAGAGTATAGCACATGCAGTCCAACTGCTTTTTCTTTCTGACTGATCTAGGATTTCATCTGAAATAAAAGGAGGTTCGGTTATTAGCTTTCATCCTCATGCTTATCTGTAGCTGCCCGACATATCATAGAACACAGATAGGCATCTGGACACCCCCTGGTACGTCGCTGCCTACTCACTCACCTGCCAATCTAGAGGTGAAAGCGTTCTAGAACTTGTGGCATCCATGGCCCAACACCCATCCAGAACTTGTGGCATCCATGGCCCAACACCCTCCATGCCCTCTCAACTCAAAGTGATTGTTAATTAGGATTGTTAACTGGTTGCAAAGAAGGCAATCAAATAAGCACACTTTTACTATATATTTGTGAAGCAGAGCAGAATGTTTGAAGTGACTTTGCTTTAGCAAACATTAGCACTGAAGTATCAGTCATGTGGGCATTTCTGGATTCAATCTACTGACACTGCCCAGGCTTAAAGACGCCTAAATGCACTTTACTTACACAGGTAAGAGAAAAGTGCACAAAGAGAGATTTAAATCTAATTATGCCAGAACATCTAGTTAGACAAGAGGAAGGGCCAAAATGTAATAGTGGCAACAGTATTTATCCAACATGTAATCTAGCTTGGAACTTCACTGGAAATATTAACCACATTGTCTTTTTTCAGTAGGAAAAATGTAAACATGAACATTATGGTAGGCTCTGCCTTGTAAATAGAATTTAATGGTGATTAATACTACATAGGTAATGCCCACAAAGTAAATATTTGAATTATAATTTAATTCCTTCAAAACTGTAAGCTTCACAGGCCACCTTAAAAGTGTCGTTAAATCAGCCCATTAACTGTACTGTGTACTGTATTGGAAATAATTTCCTATAAAACTGCCTGCTTTTCCAAATTAACATATCCCATGAGAACAGCTTATTTTTTCAGTATGCAAAAACACGTTACTTTGAAGGGAGTAGCAGATACATGTTCAATTACTATTTATCAGAATTGATAAATTAATTTACTTGCTATTAAACTGGAAAAGGAGAGCCAGAGAAGAAAAAGTAATAATGTGAAATCAAATTATAGGAGCCTTGTGGTGTAGTGGTTAAACTGCAGTTCTGTAGTGAAGACTCGACTCCTGACCCACCTTTGATCCTGGATTGACTCAGTTTTCCATCCTTCTGAGGTTGGTAAATCTGTTACCCAGTTCGATGGGGGGGAAGCATGTTTAGCCCACATAATTAAAAATCGTAAACCACCCGAAGAGAGCTTTAAGTGCTAAGAGGTGGCATATAAACACCACACTTTGCTTTGCTTTTGCTTTGTACATGAATATCAATAGCATACCGTAAAGGTGCTGTAAGTGATTAAGGCAAGTTGATAAAAACAAACCATAGAATGGAACAGTAAAAAAATTGAAATGGATATCTTGCCTGTTGGCTCCTCTTTAAATTCTTCTTGGAAATACCAAATGCTGTAGAGTAACATTGTTTTCATACAGTTTACACACTACACAGGATAATCCTTCTAAATGTTTAATCCGCATGCTGACCCAGTAAATGAGCCGCTTGTTCATATTCTGCCAGGATGCTGACATCTAGTGGTGATCTGATAACTGCGATTAGGCACTCCAAACAGGGGGTTCTATTGAAATGTTTGTAATTTCATGTTTTAAAGCTAACTACTAATTGACATCAGTAAAGATATTTAAAGGTATCTCAAAGGCATTTCAATATCTGACAATAAACCAATTAAACAGCTAAGAAGGAAAATTATCTACAGATGACCTTACATGGATTTCCCAATTGGGATAAAGTACCAAAACCCAAATCAATAATGTAACATATATTATATATATATATGATAACATATCAGACCATGTGATTACAATAATGGGGTTATTGATACATATTTCTATATACGTTTAAGGAACAATGAGGGTGCAGTGATTTTCCTGGGAGGATATTCCTGGTTATTGTCAGTCTCCCCATTTGAGACAGACGAAGGTGATCCACTGGTGAAGGGTCTCCTTGGAGAACAGCAGAGACACTGCATGACCAGTTTCCACAAGGCAGTGGAATTAAGCATAGGGTAATTCAGGAACCACAGTCTCCCCCCCCGCCTTTTCCTTGCCACAGCATTCAAAATGACACCAACCTCATTATTTGTTTGATTGTGTTTTGTTTTTTTTTGGAAAAAAAAGATGGAGAGGATGTGAGATTTTTACAGGGTCGATGTCTGAGAAATTCCACAAAAACCAGTCCACTGCATCCTTCTGGCTTGGGCCAAAGTTGTTGACAGCATCCCTTTACTCAAAACCCTCTATTCCGTGCAGCCCTCTCTTTCATCCTCTGTATACAGAATGTACTTACTTACACACTACCACATGCTCCAGTCTTCCCTTTCCTTTTGCTCACTAAGGATGCTCATTCAGAAAATGGCAACAAAAGTACAGTATAAAAATATTGCAGACTGAAGGATTTTGATAGAAGATGAAACTGGAGGAAATGGTATGTTATAAAGAAAGAGAAGGGTTGGTTTTGCTTAGTGGATTAATGTTATTTGCAATTGATTTTTGCTACCAGTAAAATAGCTTGACATGCAGAAACAGATGCACAGAATTTGTTTTGATTTTCAAGGAAATGGAAAAAAGCTAATATCTGGTATTGAGCTAAGAACACTTTAAACTGAGAATGTAATCATTTAGGTTTCCTTTCTTAATTCAGTGTGGTTTATCTTCTTTCACACAACAATGTAATATTTTTACAGCTCCAAAAATAATATTACACAAACCTTAGAAGTTATAAAATAAAACAAACATATATCATGCAGTTAACATGTGAAGCAATGTTAACTTTTTAGTCTCAAAATCTTTGAAGCATAATATGCATCTTCTACCATGAAGACTTGTACACTGTTTTAAAGCAACAATTACAGAATGTCTACAAGACTTTTACAAGAAATAAAAATAGAACTAACACACACAATTCCTAAAAATTCACAGGAGAGCAATCCAGGACATTCTTCTGCCTATAGTAATGGAGAGCATCGTGCCATCTTTACAGAAATGAATCCTAACCAGTAAAACTAACCAGCACTTTGGCATATGCCTAATTCTGTCTCTGAGAAGGAGAGCTTAGTCTATGAATTAGGATGAAGCCAATTAGCACCAACGTAAAGGGGAGCAGGAAACACCAGCTTTCTAGATTTTGTTCAAATTCTGAAGTATCAATTGGCTCCTGTAAACATGTGCTGATGGCAGCTTTCAAACAATACTCCGATAATTAGCAAGGAGAAAATTTCCAAAAGGCCGTAACTAAAAGTTCAGAGGTCAAAGAGTTCAAGTGCTCCCACAAAGATGTAACCTCTTCCTGATCATCCTAACCCCAAACGTAAAGGTTTCTTGAGCCAATTCTGCCCTGTCAGTTCTTCTGCTTCCTCCACTGTGACTGCCAACTTTTAACTCATACAAGACTGCCATGCTTTTCAGGACTGTGGGGCATGCAGGAAACTGTATAAATAGTTTCTGCTATCAACAGTGGAAATACAAGCAGGGCCAGAGAAAGATTTCCTTGCCCTACAGCTATTAAAAGCACCACTTCTCCACTTAAGTCCTACTTCCAACATCGCCCTCTTATCTAAATAGGAACATGTATCTACGTAACATGTGAGTCTGCTCTACAACCATTGTGCCATGGGCAGCATGATGCCTCCATGTTGATTCCAAGAGGCAGCAAGTCCTATTCACACATCTGTCCATCCATCTATCCATCTATCTATCTCATTATTCCTTAAACCTTTTATGTACTCAAGATGGACCTCATGAAGCTATTGTTTATTACAGCCTCGAGAATGCGTATACATGAATCCCTTTTCAAGACTGTGGCTCTTTGGTATGATAAAAACAAAAGAGTGAAGAGTTAAAAGTCTGGAGGCTGAAGAGATATTTCCCAGCATACAGTTATTTGCCTGGATCCAACATAAACTTCCTTTAGACGGAAGCACTCCTTCTGTCTGTGGGAGATTTCTGATCCAGGCAGAAAGGAGAACAGCAAAGTTCCTACCTTCCTCCTTTTCATCACAACTCCTCATGCGCTCTTCCTCCAAATCAGCAGGGTTGGGGGGCCCTGTGGGGTAGTGAGGAATGAGGTGCTGGGAACACAGCGGGAGGGAAGCATTGGGGAACATCACCTGACTCTATGCGGATGGGAACTCTGCTCAGGGATTGATCCTGCTGGTGGAATAAAATCTGCATCCACCCTATGTCTGCTAGAAGAGGTAAACAATGAATATCTCTGTAATGCCAGGAACAGCACCATCATGTAATTCTGGATTTACAAAGGATTACACTGCTGTGGTCTATACTATTTAAAATGAGATCCCTTCTTGTTACAAGTGTAGGTACAGCATGTGGGTCCTTGAAATTAGGAAGATGTAGGCCAATTATAGCAAGGATAGATATCACAATTGATATGGGACAATACTTTACTTCACTAATGTGTCATTTATATTCATATTTACAGTTCATTAGGGCTAGCTGTTAGAGTAATTCCACACTTGCTATAGTAGTCAGGCTGAGAGGAGAGCAGGCTCCCAAGCACTTTCCAAAAAAGGGCTCTCACCCACATTTTAAGTTTTGCTGTACAAATTGCTAATGTAAGACTTGTTTATCTGTGAGCAATACAACTACTGTGTAAAACATGCAGCCCTTCCTAGATGCCTTCACTTTGGAAAACGAAAGCTAAAAGATAGGTTTCTGTAAGCTGAACATTATTGAAACTTACAACCATCTGGGGAAGTGTTTGTAGACCAATTAAAAAAAAGTACTCCAATACTAAGGTATGGATTTGCTTCTGTGTAGAGGAAAAAGGGCAGCAAGAGTGAAAAAGCATCTAGTTTATCTTACAAGCCCTGCAGATCCAGGGAAGGAAGCACTGCGCTTTATACCCAAATCCCTTGCCAGTCCTTAAACATGAGCTCATAGCCTGGTACTATGGAAGAGTTTTCCAGCATAATTTGTCTTGAGTTCCAGATCTGTAAACTGAGATGATATTTATGATATTTCTTTCTTCTTTTGTTGTTGTTGTTTTTTAAATGGAAAGTGAGGTTCTCCATGTTTTCTCAACTCTGCAGTAAAAGTTCTGCAGGACGATCTTCCAGCCTCTAGTCACCGATGGCAGAACGCTAAGTGGTGTTTTTTTCTACATGTAAAGTTGTCTTTATAAGGAGAAGCAGCCAGAGAAGGTAAACCTGGTCATAAGGACCCCAAATGTAACAATTTCTTCAAGGTGGAGGCAAGTAGCAGCAGGTGTGGTTGCCCTTCCCTTCTCGTTCCAGATCAGAAGTTCCTCCTACATTCATCTGTAAGCCAGAGTTTGTCTCCCTTCTAGGGCTGTGCCTTTTTCTTCTTTTTTGTTTTTTCTTCCTTCTGCATCTGTGACTGTGTGCGACAGAACAGCAGAGTTGAAAGCCAAACTCTCCAAGAACGGCCTTCCTCTTCCATGCACAAAGGCACACCAGGCAAAGTTTCTCAGTGCTGTTAGTCCACTCCACACAGTAACATTAGCAGCGAGTACAACATTCCCAACGCTCTCCGATTGTTCAGCTCTAAACATCTGATGTTATACATATTTGTCCTGTTTGGGCTTTGGGAATGTTTATATTTTAAAAATCCATACATGGCAGCATCCAATATAAAAAGGACAATATATTACTGTTGAAGACTTAATGTTTTTGTAACTTTTCCTCTCTTTTTTAATATAAAAATTAGAAAAGATCAAAACATATCACACTATTATTTACACAGTCCATGCTTGCAGAATCACTGAAAAAAAAAAAACACAAACATATTTTAGAACGCAGGAATAGCATGCATTACACTCAGTTATGCTTTGTTAATATGCTTGCTACTGGAAGCATCCTAGACATTTCTACAAAATATTTTAATTTATTTCAGGAAAGATATTTGCCTGACTGCATGTTACAGTGAATGAAAGGTTCCGCTTTTCCATCCCAGTCATGTTATATTTCATCAGGATTTCTAACTGTCTTGTATTCTGCCAGCATTTGTAACCACCTTGTTTCTAGGCATGGTTTTAGTTAGTTAGCCATCCTTCAGCCTCGAAAGACTATGGTAACGTGCTCTGTACGGAGGACTTGGAACAGCATCTAGTGCGGCTGAGGTTTTAATTGTGCAACTATTCTTCCTCTACTGTGGGATTTTATAGGAGGTTCAGAGGCAGTTGATTTCTACTTGTGACCTTCCCAAGTTTCCCTCTGATGCCTTCTCTCCTTTATTCTTACCACAAAAATAAGATAAAATATTTTGATTAAAACCTCCTGAGGAGGGAAAGATGAAACAACTGTACCCAGTCTTTTGACTGGCAGCATCAGACGTACAGTTGACTTTTATCAAGGTTTTCCAGACACCTGCAACATGCTTGAAACTCAACAACTGAAACAAGTAATAATGTTTGAAGTTTTTCAAGATATGCTTTTTTTCTTTCTGAATAGAAATTAACATGCTGTCCTGCTTGTTTGAAATCTGAATTGCATAATCCTTCAGCTGGCAGAGAGTGGATACCTCTCCTCTCTATCTTAACACAAAAGCATATGCTGGCATTCGTTGTTTTGTATTGTACATGTAGGTCTGATGGCAAAATACTACAGAGAAGTCCCATAGAATTTCTCAGAATATTAGCTGACATATAAAGAGCTTCAAGAATGTTGGGAAAAAAAATAAGGGTTCGTTTTGATCCCTCAGTAATTATTGAGCTAAAATAAGGAGATTTGAAAATGTTGCTCTGAAAACTGCCAAATATATTTGCAAAGCACTTCTCTATTTTCAGGGAACCTGACCAACACTACTTATTATGCTGTACTTTATTAAAGCTTTTGCTGTGCAGCAAAACAGGAAGTGCTGACAGGATGGCCTTAGCAATAAGGGATCTGATACCTTCTTCCGATGCAGAGTGAGGCCAATGAAAAGGCTTCATTTACTCCATCATGACATTACCCCAGTCATGACATTTTGCAGCCAAATCTGCATGACAGCTTTGATTGGGTGGAAAAACTCTAGAAGGAACAAGAATCCTTTCTGTGCTGCTTCAAAGGAGTAGGACAAAGAAGGAACACAAAGGCCGTGAACAGCCACGAAGTAAATGAGATTCATTTTGCGGGAGTTTGGGGAGGGCATATTCTACCTCTAAGATATGTATAGTGGACAATTGTGTAGTTCTTGTCTCAAGATCTTTCTAAAAGACAGATGGGTAATGGTGGGAAGAGATTCAGCAAACTCAGCACTCTGTGCTTAACACCAGAGGACAGAGTTCTGACTCCTGTCCTCTGAAGATGCCGGCCACAGAGACTGGCCAAACGTTAGGAAGAACAACGTCCAGAACATGGCCAAAGAGCCCAAAAAACCCACAACAACCATCAACACCTAACGTTTCTCCACTAAAGACTAGAAAAATTTAACTGCACCCTGTCCCACCATCTGCATTTGACGATATGGATTTCACACCATTGCACTGTTTTCCCCAAAATTACATTCACCTCAATCAATGTCTAAAAATCATGTTTTAAATATTGTGCGAAATACTCTTAAAAGCAAGACACAGATTTGGGTCTAAAAATGAAGTTAAGCTAGATTTCTATGCCATGTTTAAAACCATACACACAGAACCTGACTGAACAAGAATAAGTTAAAACGTTTCTTATGTTTAATTAGAATTTAAGACATATAAGAGTGGGTTTCAAGTCATAGTATTTTACTTTATTATGGATTAAAGTGTGTTCATATACTGAACAGATAAAAATAGATGTGGAAATTTCAAATTAGAGATGACATGTATACCAGTGTACTGCAATTCTAAGATTATGATGACGACAACAAGTGAGAATGAAATTGTTTAATCCTTCTTCAGCGACCGCATTACTATGTGTACAATTAAGCACAGAAATCTAGTTTTCCCTCAATTCATATTTCTTTTTACAAAACACCTTCAAAATACAGTATCTTGATTTCAAGTTACTGATTTTGCCAAACACCAATCGGAATTCAGGCCAAAGAGGAAATCCAAGATAAGATACAATACCTTGTGCCAACATCCTGGTACTGGTAATCCATCTGGTCCCTGTAGAAAATAAGAAAAAAAATATATAGTGCTGGAAATATATAGGCCTCACCACATTTAATTCAAGATTAAACCTGCAAGACCTGTAAATGCCACCAGAAAATGTGAACAACCATGCAAAAACCAAATGCTGTGTTTGAAGAAAAGTAGGTATGTACAAATACTGTAAATAATATTCCATTAAAACTTTTCACAAATCAAAAGTATGGTTCAGGCATTCAGAAATGGGTTAACCTCCATGTATGAAGAGGAGAAGAGGGCTACACCATTGTTGTTCTCTGGAGGAAAAGAGCAGCAGCTAGTAAAGGAGATGCTCTGCTACACAGAGAGTGTATCCATGCAACTGCCCCCCAAAGGAAACCAGGGTTCCTGATAATGTGGAGAGGTTCTTATCTTCATACTGTTGGTCTCCACCAGTGCAGAGTAAAAGGGGAAAGTGATGGTGGTGGGGACTACCCTACTCCCCTGCCTGATGGGTCCAGATTAACTCATTTCTGAGCACCTGATTAAGGCAGAAGAACTACCTGATATTACCCAACAACCATTTTAAAAATAAAATTGATCAAACGTTTCTCTGATTTCTACTTCAATTATCTGCATAAAATGCCATGGTTTTACAACAATATGAATTTTATGATAAGAGAGAAATTGCTGCAGAACTATACAATGAATTCAGACAGCAATACTGTATAAATAAAATGTGATGTGTTCACCCACCCTTTCCCACAGCCTTTCAGTTTCATGGCTCTTCTGTGTTACAGCCCAACAATCCAGCCAATCTAATGTATTGGCTCTTTTGTACAATCTATAATGCATTTTTTCCTGAGTTTAGCTCTCTAAATGACATATGAAGTGCTTTGGTGTCTCTCAAAATGTGAAGGGCAGGGTGAATGGCAAAGGCAAGGCATGAGCATCTTCCTGATCTATCCTAGTGATCGATTTTCCTTTGGCAACTGGTTGCTGAGCTCAACGAGAGCAGAGCCATTTATGCAATGCGATTTATGTACCGTAAGTGTTAACTCAATGGCCCTGTTCTCCGAGACTAGACAAAAGCACACTGGCCTTGCCTGCAAACTGTAGCATCATTGCCTTCAACCGCTGCCTCTCAAAATGGTGACAAAGGCCTTCTATGCACAGAGTGAGTACCATATTCTCTCTCTTGCTCACTTTGGAGGAAGAAAAAGCTCATGAAATAGTTATTGTGCCTGGACAGGATGGTTACATCTTCAGGACACTTCAGCCAAGGATTTCAGCTGCAGCAGACCTGCATGGGCCCTCCTTCAAAAACAGAACCCTTTATTGCATCACAAGGGGAAGAAACAGTAGAGAAATTGCTTTTTTAGGGAAGCTCCATTATATCACTAGTGTTGGATAACAGTTTGTCACCCTTTCTAATACCAGTTTATGCTAATATAATTGCAATTGCTAATCCTCATGTACATTTATTCTCACTCCACTTGCTATATTGCATTCCCAGACATATGCCCCCTCCTAATATTGATTGTCTTAAAGGCGCCAGCTGATGCTAGGCCAGTTGGCTGCAACAGGCTTACATGGCTACTCTACTGAATATTGCTCATGAAGTCAGAATCAGGCATGTTGTGTTAATGAAACACGTGAACAGGGGAGTTAGCTAGCCTGACCTCTCTCTGCTCACACAAAAAGTGATTAGTCTTAAACAGAGAATCTTCTGTGTGCATAAAGGTTCAGATACACCACTTTTCTCATGAACAAAGTGATAGTGGAGGGGTGTGTTCTCCTCCTGTCTGGATTTAACCACAAAAGAGAAACCTGAGCAAGGCCAAATGCATGGGGTGAAAGAACATGGCCACACATGCAAATTGTTAGTACACCCAAAAGCTAGAAGCTTGGTAATATTCCCTTTAACATCAATGTACTGTCAAACGTATTGGGCAGGCCGATTTGCTCCTTGGTTTTGATTTGTGAATTCTGAAACTATTCAACTAATTTGCACGAAGCATGTATGTTTCAAAAACATTCAATGACATTCAAGGAAGATGTGGTGGAATTAATTATTTTAGTATGAATCACCTTTCTTATAAGGAATTCAGGATGCGGTATATAGTTCACCACCTGCCATCCCCATTCACAACAACCCTGTAAAGTAGGTTAGGCTAAAACAGTATGTGAACTTCATAGCTAGATGGAGATTTGGATCTAGGTTTTTCCAGTCCTAGATCAGGAGGCTAGTTATTGCACTGCCAATTTTATGGAACTTGACATCTGAGTTCTCATATTCACTATTCATTCAGTCATCAGGCCCCAGGATTTGACTAGCCGAGATAATGGTAGCCAGAGTGACCTGCTATCACCTTTGACTACAAAGCCTACCCTCAGAGCAGATCAGACACAGTTGTTAAGAAAGGGGAAGGCAGAGCAAATTCAAGAATTAATATCCAACAAGATGATTGTGGGTAGTAAGATCTGTGGGTGAGGCTGGGAGCAGTGGCATCCTGGAGCCCTGGTTCTCCCACCCCCACCCCCACCCCCGGATAGCAGGGGCCATTACATCATGCATACCCTCTCTCAGGGCTTCCCTGTTTCCCCTGATTTTAGCTGCAATACTCACAATAACTGAGGGAGAAACTGATTTTCCCCAGAAACAGATGATTGTTGCATGATGCAATGCAAAATATTTGAGAGTAGTTTAACTTTGAAGAGCAATTAACTTTGTGAACCCATCCTCCTTTGTTGTTTTGGACCAACTGAGCTACTTGCGTTTTTGGACTCCCCTGGCAGGGTGGCTACGGGGACTTTCATAGCAAACACCTGCACTTGTGAAGTTACAATTAGACACACACACACCCCTTGCTGGGAGGCCTCTATACTCCTAAGGCCTATTCCTGTGATGCGATTTTGGATACAGGTATTTTGTAATAATAAAGCAACAGAATCAGTAGTTATCATTATCTCTTATGCACATATTAACTAATATTACTTTAACTACTGTGAGCTCAGGTGAATGCTACATTGACATAGGAAGATCAGGTATGCCACTTAGCAACTGAAAGGGAACACAACATGTATCAGATCACCGACAACTTGTTTGCTAAGCTCTGTATATCAACATTCTTACATGCCTTTTTTGTTTGTTTGTTTGTTTTTGTTATGAAGAGAAAACCATATTGGGAGAGTGGATAAATGGCATGAGAGGGAAGGCTTACTTAAAGTTTTCAGTGCTTTAAATTATTCCCCCTACAGCCATTTTCCCCACATGGGATTTCAAACTTGTTTGAAACTAAGGCAACAAAAAACCCATCAGGAGACTCCTACAACAAGGGCTTTGTAATGTATTCATTTCCTCACCTCTTCCACTGGCATCCACTTGGAATAGTCCTCGGCATTATCTAAAGTCTACAGGGGTTCCATGGCAGACACACAGCGATCCCTTGACAGATGGTGAAGAAAGGTACCTCACAGGAAAGTTTGGAAACTGCCAATACCCCAGAGATTGTGCAACTTTAAAGACAGGACTCTGCACTTTCACTCACTGCCACCTCCCTTACGTCCTGCAGGTTCTGCTCCCATCATTGTCATAATGGCTATTCAGCATTTGGTCACAAAAATATGAAAACAAGGTGGTCTAACCAAACTGAAGTAAGAGGAGGATGAGTATAACATGGCTAAATCATCTTGGTACCAAGAGGGGGGGGCATCCTAAAGTATGAGTATGATTGTTATTTATAAAACCTAATTAGTATATTTGTTGTGCATATTCCACACAGCCATATATATCCTTCTTAACGGAACACTGATTTGTGAGCACAACCTGGCCCCAAACTGAAGGGTTCTTGTCCATAGACATGCCAGCTGATGAAGCATAGCCGTTTCTGCCTAAATGTTCTTCCACCAGTGCGATCTTCTGCCTTTTCTCTGCTTAGCAGAGCAACCAACTGGCCAGGGAGCATCGCTGATCTGGCCACTGGTAGCATGCCATTCTGGGCTACCACTGGCAAGACGCTGCTTCTGCCTGGCAAGAAAACGACAGTGGGACATGGCTGTAAAATGGCTGCCCAGAGCAAAGGGCCTGAGAGAGATATGGTGACAGCCAGATTATATGACTGGCTTATAAGAACACACACAGCTGAAGCAGACTATTCATCCGCCTAATTCAATGCTACAAACTCTGATTGGCTTTGGACTTTGGAGCTTGAGTCTGTTGTTGCCTCTTCTCCAGCACCTCCTGTTTGAGACGCCAGGGACTGAGCCAGGCCCCTCCGTAAGCAGAATGTCTTCTCTGTCCCTGCACTCAAGGTTCACCTGCCCTGATAGCACACTATTCTGAATGGGGAGGTGGTCTGACAGGTTATCTCAGGCAGCAGCACTAACACCTTCTTTTCATTACTTAGTACTAATTTGTCTGTAGGGGAATGAAATATATCTTGGCATGTGAATTGTACCTTTACACCAAAAGCAACTGTCACTTGGACCTCCTGCAATATTTGATATTTCCCAGCAAGCACATCTTAGCAAGCACATTCTATCGCAAAAGCTTTTATAATGGTTTTTACACAATTAGTTGGGGCTTGGGAAAGTGACTTTTTGGACTACGTGGCCATGCAAGCTGGAGGATTTTGAGAAATGTCATGTCATCCTGCTATCCACTCAGGGCGACATCAGATGGTTTGCTGCCCCACAGTAAAGGTCCAGACAGCGCACCCATTTTCCATGTTCTGTTTGCGTAAGCTATCTAGTCTGGCATTTCGTTCATCACTGTTGATTATACAAGAAGTCAGCAGCCTAGCTTAAAGGGCCCAGGGCAAGGCATACAGCCCCCATACAACTCTGTCATTTAACATCTTGCTGCCACTCCTTGACCCCAGCATCTGCAGCAGACACTGGGTGGGTGGGCGGCGGCAGAGAGTGGTAGCAAGGCTTCAAAAGACAAAGTGATATGGGCCATGTTTCACTCTGGCTAGCGACAGACAGGGTTGCTCCAACACCTACAGAGTATATGAAAGTTGGTGTGTTCTCTTTTCCTTGTTATTACTTATCCACAAAGAAAAGGATGTGCTGTTTCCAGAACATTAGGAAAGGAGAATGTAGACAAAGGCTAAGCAAGAAGAGCCATGCAAGAGAAGAAAAGAAAGAGGGAGGTACCGTACCAAAGGGCAGAGCATATCCACACCATCCAGTTCTGGTATACCTGGCTCCCCTTTAAAAATGAACTGTTAATTGAAAATGGGAAAAATATATAGAAAAGTTATAGGAAAGAAGAGGGGAAGACAGAACAGAAAGAAAGAAAGTACAGAAATATTTCAGAAAGCTGCAGAGATCTGGAGTAATTTTGAACCAAGAGGGGGCTCAGAGAGGAATTTTTTTTCTTATAGCTGTGGTGAAAGAAAACAAAACAAAACAATATTCTTGTATCCCAAACGGTCATAAATTGCCATATGAAAAGTGAAGTTTTCAGAATGGCTTGTGTAATATTTGTAAGTATTAAAAAACATGAAGTGACTTGTTATGACTTGAGACTCATGAAGCAAAATCAGTTTCCTGATTAATATTACCAGTGCTAAATGTTTTGCTCGAACACCAACACCACCCTAATTTCTATAGGTGTAAAAACACAAAAACAGGAACAAACTTAATCAGTTTCTTATAAGCCATCACTTGTGACAGCAGGTTATGTTTGTACAGGCCTGATAAACAACACAATTGTGAATGTGCAGGTACTCCACTTGCACTAGTTGCCACACTGAATTGGTTTACAAGGTGTTTCATTGAACACTATACTATTCTGAGAATTTGGGGGCTGTCACCTTAAAATTATGAAGTCTAGAGAGATGATCTCCCTGTTAGTGCAAATACGTCTTCTGGGTCAACAGAAGAGCAAAGGTGGACAGCATTCATACTGCTCACAGGATGCTTCCTGTGTCACTCACTACACACTGTCACACTATCCCCACAAGAGATATGATGTGGTGATCTCAAACCTCTGAAGCCACAACTAAGAGGTTTGTTCTCAGTTAGGGAGCAAACAAATGACAAATAAATATCACAATTTTAAGAATTGGAAAGTGATAATGTTACTATCTATTTTTGCTCTTCGGTTCATTTTGGTCAACATGAATACAGTGGTGCCTCGCATAACGTTTGCTTCGTTTAACGTTTTTTTCGCTTAACGTTTATTTTTTCAGAGTCAGATTGTGCTTCGTATAACGTTTTTCCCTATGGGCGATTTTCACATAGCGATTTTGGGACCATGCTTCGCTTAACATTTTTGGTTTTAGGTCCCCTGCTTCACTTAAAGATGTTCATTTTTTCAATTACAAAAGTGTCTTAACATGTTGAAAAACAGTTTTAAATGCTTGGAATCGTTAGTGCACCTTCTAAAATGTGTGCATACTTAATTTGGCGTTGATCTGACTTTTCGTTAATTTTTTGTGAATTTTTTTCTCCCCCATAGGAAACAATGGAGCTGTCAGATTTTGACACCTGTCAAAAGTTGGGGGGAAAAAATTCAGCATAAATTAACGAAAAGTCAGATCAAAGCCAAATTAACTTTTGCATCCGTTTTAGAGGGTGCAGAAGCTAATCCAAGCATTTAAAACCATTTTTGACCCTTTTATGACACACTTAAATTTGCAAAAATTGACTTCGCAAAGCCATTGAAATGTATTGAGTCGGCTTCAATACATTCCAATGGAGGAAACATTGTATCATTTAACAATGTTTCCTATGGGTTTTTTCGCTTAAGGACGCCAATCCGTGCCTATTGGAACGGATTAACCGGTTTCCAATGCATTCCTATGGGAAATGGTGTTTCGCATAAAGTTTTTTTCGCATAAGGTTTTTTTTTTTGGAACCAATTAAAAACGTTATGCGAGGCACCACTGTAGTAGGTTTTTATGTCTGTACATCATACTCACCCTTAAGTGAGAACTGACCTGACAGCACATGATTATTATTTATACCATATTGAAAACCCTCAAAATATAGCACTGCCATTTAAAAAATCCCAAAGGCCAAACACAAGGGTGCAGGTGGGTAAGCAAATGGGGAGAGCCAGCGAACAAATTTTTCTTCTGCTATCAGGAGCAGAAATGAATCGATTTCACATCCACCTCAAACTAAATGGACCTCTGGAGGAGGAACAGAAAAACTTGCTCCCCTGGCACATTATTCTGTGCATGCATGCACCTAGTGTGTATGGTAAAAGGTAAGTCCTTTTAAAAAAAGGAGAACATGATATAACAGCATTTTTAATTGCCACTGGAACTGAGCCCTACGCCTCCTGGGAGAACAACCAGCCTGTGTAGCCTTGGGCCAGCTGCACAGTCCCAGGGTGCCCTTAGAAGAAGGGAATAGTGAACCACTTTTGTGTATTCTTTACCTAGTAAACCCTGGAAAGGGTCACCAGAAGCTGGAATTGACTTGACAACTCACCATTATTATTATTTAATTATTATGAAGTAGCAAAAAAGCAAATGATAAAGCAGAAACATATCCTGATAGCAGAAGTAAAATTCATACTTTTACTACGAATATACAGTACTAATAATTTCACATGAATGTCTAAAACCATATGTTATCAAATAAAACCAGTCATCTGACATGATATAATATTACATGAAGGAATAGAAATTACTCCTTAGTGAGCAATCAGATCAGTATCAGATGTATGTCAGGATGCAAAGTTGAAAGTTGCTAGTAAGTATGTTAGCTTTCATTGGATCTCACATCTGAAGAGCTAAAATTTTACACATTTCCATGTATGGAAAGACATGGAAACCCTAACTAGTGTTCACTGCTTGCTTACTATGGTATACAACATAATCTAAAAGAACGGTGAGATTATGCAGCCATTTGCCTTGCCTGTTTTTCCAAGGAAAAGAAAAACAAGGCACTGAATTAGTTTCCCCCAGCTCTGTTAGAGACACTTTGTTGAATGATGAAGGGGGGGGGGGGAGGCTGTTAGATACCAGCACAAATTCCCAAACCAAAGGCGCATAATGGTACCTGGCAACTTAAATGGTTCTATTTTACATTTACTACTGATTTTTTTCCAAGTGATATTCAAGAGATGCAAAGGTTTGAAATATAACAAAATTGGTCTGAGGAGCCAACCAAATCTCTGTGCCTATCACACTTTTAGTTACCGATATTGTTTTGATTGATTCTCATTTACTACTATATTTTTCTCATGGAACGTAAAGTGAGTGGCTATGTTTATTTTTGTGGCTTCCCTTCCTTAATTACAAGGTTTTGTTTAAAATGTTTTTCTCCTTTTGTATTTGTTCCTATCCTTAAACACAAATGGCAGCAATTTTACTCTCTAGTGATAACAAAAGAAAGCCAAACAGTATGAACAGCATTCATCCATGAATCTAGGTTCAAAACAGTGTCCTCTCAGAAATCTTCTTTGTTCTTTTACAGCAATTGTCAAAAGCAGATGAAATATTGCTAAGGGGATATATATGATATATATTCCTGGCAACATCAAACCATACCACTGGACAAGGCTGATCCAATCCAGGGGGCCCCGGTTCTCCTTTTTGTCCCTTTGCTCCTTTTCTGCCCGGGAGTCCTCTTTCTCCCTGGTGGTATAATAGAAAAATGAGTCTCTTCTGCTCTGAAGGATTAGACTGAGAGACATATATCACTTGTTAAGTCACAAATTTCAACTACTACCCAGCTTTGTGCATTAAGACTTTATATTCGCGAAGGCTTTCACGGCTGGGATCTAATGGTTGTTGTGGGTTTTTCGGGCTCTTTGGCCGTGTTCTGAAGGTTGTTCTTCCTAACATTTCGCCAGTCTCTGGAGTGCTGTCCTCTGAAGATGCCGGCCACAGAGACTGGCGAAACGTTAGGAAGAACAACCTTCAAAACACGGCCAAAGAGCCTGAAAAACCCACAACAACCATTAAGACTTTGTTTGCATTTAGAAAATTCATTATCTATGCACCTGCATAAAAGCACTCCTACTGATATCATCATCAGGCTAATATAAGCAATTCATAATGGCAAAAGTCTCTGACTAAAACTGAAATGTTTTTATCTGTGAAAAGGTTTAGTCATAGTATTATGGGTAGACAGAATGAAGAAACTTCAGCTGTGATCCTCCGCTCTCTTGACTTGGCATAACAAGCAGTTTCCAAGGTTGTCTTATAAGGAGAACATAAGTAATACATCTAAAGGGTGTTAAAGGTGTCTATTGGCATGTTATCACTTAATCAGTTCTGGATCCCAGTTGCTCAATTATCTGCATATAAGCATTTAGATCCATGAATCAGAAGTGGCACTAACCTTCTCTCCTCTTTCACTTTTTTCTCCCTTTTCTCCTCTTAATCCCGGGAAACCCTAGGAAAACAAAATGGAAATACTCAGTGCCAAACAGTTCTAGTAACAAAGGAAGGGTGAACATAAGTTGTCCCACTATCATTTCCTTAAAATAATCATTATTACCTGAGAACTTAACAGCTGCCACCACAACTACACTCTGCTAAATGGAAAACTGACAGCAAGCGTTGTTGTTAGCCATCCAAACCATGGCAATCATATGAATGAGCAATCTCCAAAATGTCCAGTCCTCATCGTCCCTGCTCAGCTCTTGTAAAATCAAAAAACCTGTGGCTTATTTTAGGGAGTCATCTTATATTTGGTCTTCCTCTTTTCCTGCTGCCTTCAACCTTTCCCAGAATTGTCTTTTCTAGATAATCTTTCTCATGATGTGCCCAAAGTAGGACAGTGTCAGTTTAATTATTTTTGCCTCCAGAGATAGTTTAGGACCCACTTGTTTATCTTTATGGCAGTCCAAGCTCTCTACCAGCACCATATTTCAAATGAATCAATTCTTTTTTAGTTCCTTCATTGCTGCCCTTCCTAGTCCCAGTCTTGTTTCTGATTTGTTGGCTGCAGTCTCAATTTGGATTGATGACTGAACCAAGGCATATGAAATCTTTAGCAATTTGTTTCTCCACTGTCTACCTTAATGTGATGTAGTTCTTCTGTAGTCATCATTTCTTCTTAATGAACATTAAGAAGGCAAAAATAATGACTTCACTTTCTTTCACTGTTATTAAAAGTCATGTAGTCAATTTGATTTCTATATTTACCATCTGATTATGTTCATGTGTATAGATGACTGTTTGGTGGCTTGAAACATGTATTTGCAATAGGTACCATAGATTGTTAGCTTTACAGAACTCTCATTAATTGTTTTCCTGCTTTGCTTATGACTCAGACAAAATTTTCCAACAACATTTGGTTCTACTTTGTTTCCTACTTTTACTTTCCAGTTACTTATTATTGTCTTGTTTTGATGTGTTTCCTCCTGGATGCTTGTATAAAAACTTTCGCTTTAAGGAAGATAAGAAAAAAATTGAATTTGAAGAAGAAAAAATATTTATCACATAATTCTTTTATCTCTGTAAAAGAATTATGTGACAAATAGGATCATCTGGTTTCCAGTATATATAAAATATTATTGAAATATGATGCAGCAGATGAACAAGTTAAAGACTGTATGGTTAAGTGGGCACAAAATGGCTATAGTATTCAAATAGAACAGTGGGAGAGAATGTAGTGTACTGGGAAATATGGATTGAAATTCACGATGAGTTACAATTTTAAAGAAAACTTTTATGAAATAATGTACAGATAGTACTCATAGTACTATTAACATGGTCTTTTCTGGTCCTACACTCTGAAATCAATGAAGTGGAAATGCCAGATACTGAACACAGGCCTAAAGTCCCGCCACTTGGCTATGATCCTCCACCCTCTTGACTTTGTACAACAATAGTTTACAAAGTGTAAATAACCTCTGGAATAGCTTTCTGTAGTAGTCCTGACATACTGATGACTCAGAGAAGGTATTATACCCATTACTTACATCTAATCCTGGTTCCCCTGGCTTTCCCTGGATTTATTAAAGAGGGAAGAGAAAACAGTGACTATGTGAGAAAGGTATACCATAATATGTGGGTTACATTCATAGAAGCTTATAAAACTTTGGTTAGATATAGTTGGTTTGAATTTTTTTAAAAAGTACATTTAAACTAAGTAGGATGGCTGAGCACATAACTTGCTCCCCATCCCCATCTTTCTCAGTTAAATCAATAGTTATCAAAATAAACTGTTTCTGTGACTGGGTTGGGACCATTGTATACACCATTTGGAAAACACTGCTCTTTCTCTTTTTTAACAGAACCCCATGATCCTCTGTCATTGCACTTACACAATACTAGTAAGAAGGAGACGAGATGGTATCCTGATTTGTATTTTCCAGTAACTAATAGCTCAGTGAATTGGATACCCAGCCGTGGAGGCAGAAGTTTGGAGTGCAATTCTCCACTTTGCCTCTTGGGAGGAAAGATATCCTATGTAGCCTTGGGCAAGCTGTACAGTCCGAAGTACTACCAGAGGAAGGGGTGATAAAGCCCTTCTGAATACTCTCTACTAGAAAACCCTGGAAAGAGCTGTCATACACTGGTATGAACTTGGAAGCATGTTGTTGTTGTTATTAACTGCAAATAAACTGCAAAGAATTGCACCAGGTAACCAGATATAATACATGTAATTTGAACATGTAAGCAAAAGTGGCTCACATAAACTATTACTACGAGCATTGCTTTTACAGCTCTCTGCTTCATAGAGATAAAGAAGCTAAGAAATGTAGACCTATACATAAGTACAGTATTTTGGAAAGGTATGTTCCAGAGTTATTCTAGTTTCATATAGCAGTCAGAGCTGAATAAATTTTCTCTAGTTAGACACACATTAAAAACAACAACATACGAAGGCCAGAATTAGGTTGCTTGGCGTAGTAAGTAACACTAGAGATTAAAAATGAATAATGAGATTTGATAGTCAACCCCTCTGTAAGTTACAGTGAGTCATATAAGTCCAACAGTGACATACTGTGCTCAATAAGATGCAGTTAAAGTGGGCCCATTTGAATCAATGGATCTTACAAAGGAGTTGATTCATCAAATCTCCATTGATTTAGTGGGTGTGTCTAGTGTGACTTACTATGCTAAGCAACAAATTTTGGCCTGAAGGATTTAGTGTGCTTAAAATGAACTTCAGTGTATTGCCTTATTAAAATGAGGCAATTTCCAAAAAAATTCCGATATGGGCTAGTTGTGTGTGTGTGTGTGTGTGTGTGTGTGTGTGTGTGTGTGTGTGTGTGTGTGTGTGTGTGTGTGTGTGTGTGTGTGTGTGTGTGGTGTGTGTGTGTGTGTGTGTGTGTGTGTGTGTGTGTGTGTGTGTGTGTGTGTGTATGTGTGTGTCTGTTGGGACAGATGTGATGCATGCCATCTCCTGCATTAAGTGCTCACCTTTTCTCCTTTAGTGCCTGGTAAGCCAATAAGTCCAGGGGCACCAGGAGGACCCTAGAAACGAAGCAGAGGATGAGAAAGGTTTGGAAGCCTGCCGATAAAACACTTCCTCCAGTGAAGCAAATGGCCTTTCAATGCCACAGTCATTTTTAAAATACTCACATGTTGTCCTGGGGCGCCTCTTTCACCTTTGTGACCAATTTCACCTTTCGCACCTTTTGAACCCTCTGCACCCTATAGGGAAACAGATTATTTATTAGGCTTTCAACCAACAACGTGATTTAAAATCACCTGCTTTATATATGATTCATTAATCAATTAAGGTTAAACAAAGTTGCATGTTTCCAAAACTGTGCTCAAGCTACCTTTTAAAGCTATTAAAGGAAATCTAGGATAACGTATAATTTATCAAAAGCTCATTGTCAGAATAGAACAGAACTCTGTTAGAACAGTTCCCTTCAGCAATCTTTTCCACCACATGTAATAATAATACATCAAAACAAAAACAGCCTAAAAAATAATTCACAATTCCACTAAATTAAATTTAATCCTCACTGACAAACCTCACCTATAAATTCTATAATAAAAGAATCAATAACAGCAGAAGTCCAAATGGGCAGCCAATCGGCCTAATGATTTAATAATCAGGACACACTACTATATCCCCCAACCTGTTAGCAAAAGCTTGTTATATTTTTCCCACAGATGCTGCAAAGTCAGAATTCTAACCTCAGCAAACATTTGTTTTCATAGGCTTTACCTTGGTGACCATTTCCATCAGCATTCCTAAACCATGATTTTAATCTCAGTGACTCACCTTGTGTCCTTGAATTCCTTGAGGACCCTGCAAAATAGCCAGAGTACAATACATGATTTGAGGAATGGTGGTTAAAACATAATTCATACCTCTTTAGGGTTACAGTATATATCATTGTGTGTGTCTCCTCACGGAAGTCTCTTTCATCCACAGGAAGCAGAGCTTGGATGTAAAATGTTACACAAAATTATGTAACCCCTAACATGTAATTTGCAGGGGAGGGTGCTCATAAGAGGGTTTTTTGTGACTAACTACTGATAATGTCATTATATATATTTAATGTAATTAGAAACTTCCAACTCATTATTTTGGGAGAAAAAAAATAAACCGAAAAACCAAGGGGAGATATTTTGAGGGATGTTTGTTTGTTCTCTGAAAAATAATGAATAATAGAAAAACTGAACAATAAGTTAACATTCCAAGATCTGAGTGGAAGATTCTGTGAATGGAAATGGGGAGAAGATATTTTTTGCTAACCCACTGTTCCCACTGCTGCCTCTCCCCTCCACCTTGCATCTCCATCTTTTCCAGAGGATGGGAAAACCATTTTGAATAGAATGGGCACTAGCATGACTGCAGGGAGAAAAGGGGAATCTGTGGAAAATGCATCCCTTTCCTTTCTGTTCACAGAAGCCTTCTCCAGAGTGGAAAGAAACAGAGAAAAGAAGCCCTTCGTGTTTGTGTGATTACATCTATCTTCCAAACTTCTTCCTTCCCACGAGCTGAAAAGAAAACTACAGATCCCTGGGCATAGCTCTTGCCATTTGTGGAAGCAGTTATACATAGTGGTTGGTGTACATGGGGAAAATGTTTGTATTTTCATTCATTCCTTTTGGAGGCTATCTCTTTCATTTTCACATTTTTCATGCACCGGTCCTTAGGTTTTACAAGAAAGAGAAAAGCCTCTTTGGAGACATTCAGTTTTGCTTCCGCGTCCATATTTTCTGGCACTCCAAGAACCACTCCAAGAGCCTTCAAGAACCATTAATAACTACTACCCTGTCCCCCCGAAAATAAGACAGGGTCTTATATTATTTTTTGCTCCAAAAATGCATTAGGGCTTATTTTCAGAGGATGTTTTATTTTTTTCATGTACAGCAACCTACGTTTATTCAATTACAGTCGTGTCATCATCTTCTGGTTGCTGCACAAGGGTGGACGGCGGGGTTTCACGTAATTGGGGCTTATTTTGGGGGTAGGGCTTCTATTACGAGCACCCTAAAAATCATACGAGGACTTATTTTCGGGGAAACAGGGTGCAAAAAAGCAGACTCAGGAAAAGAGAAAATGACTCTACTTCCCAAGCAGGCAACAGTATGGGAGGAAGAAAAATCACCGTCTGATTTACACATCCACTAGTTATATTATCAAATTAGAAGCCGCAACATGAGTTCACTGCCACTCACCTAGCACAACAGAACATCTGGGCCTGGGCAGCACATTAGGGGAAAAAATCCAAAAAGGCAAAGAAATAGCTAGGCAGGCAGGCACTAGTTCCCTGGCACACAAACACACCCACTCGCTAGAGAGAGCAACCAACGACAACATAGCAACAAGAACAGCAACGTCCCAAGCTGTGCCAATCAACCACAGCAACCATTCACAAAGACCAGCGGCACACTGGCACAGTCACAGAGTCAACCCCCTAAGCTCACAGATCCCCCCAAAGCAAACAGCAACAAAAACCCAGTCCTAAAAAAACACCGCCACCATAATGTACACCTTTAACATAATATACAATAAATTAATCGAATAACAGTTTTAAATACAGTGATGCCTCGCAAGACAAATGCCTCGCACAACGAAAAACTCGCAGGACGAAAGCGTTTTGCGTTTTTGGTGACTCGCAAGACAATTTTTTCTATGGCCATGCTTCACAAGATGAATAGGAATGCAATAATTAAATTTCAATGCATTCCTATGGGAAACCACACTTCGGAAGACGAAAGTTTCACAATACGAAATGACTAGCAGAACAAATTATTTTCGTCTCGTGAAGCATCACTGTACCCCAATCAAAAAAGGAAAGCACACCTTCGGACATATAGCAAAAAAAAGGAGCAAAAGACAAGAAAAACAAGCAAGCAAGCTAACAAACAAGCAACGGAAACTCTCTCTTATTTTAGTGTGAGCTTTTTTATTCACCATTTAATTCACACTGAAAAAAAGCTGTTAGTCTTCAAGGTTCATTAATACACTTTTATGTGTTTTGCTTTTGTTATACAAGCTAATCTGACTTACATGGATAACTTTTTAAAAACTGTTGATAGGGTGAGGGCACTGAATTATGGAAAAGCTGGGACAGAGTGAAATGGAAATGTGCCAGCATATTCTTAATGCTATTCTTCATTTATTTATCTGTTAAACTTTCAGTTCACCTCTGCAGCAACAAATTTAAGACAGAACTTTGTCCGCCTATATAGAAACATTAGAGTATTATTTCCCCATAGAACAATGCTTTAAAAGTTCATAGCTATAAGGAGAAATGATAGTGACCACCTCACTAACATGCTACTAGAGATGGAAGAGATATTCACCTGGCTACTGGAAGATTAAACAGAAAAAAATTAAGAAAAAAGTGTATTCCCCCAGAAATGGAAAGAGATCGGTTCAAATCGGCCTTTTTTGGTGACAGTATCAGTAAATAAATAAACAAAAATTAATTGTATTCACAATATAGAAGTAGAACACCTCACTTCAAGCTTATGTTATTTGCCTTGCCTTCAACGTGCAGTTTTAGTAGCCTCAGCTTGAAATACTGCATGACCTTCACACACTGGGAACTCACCTTATGTCCCTGTATTCCTTGGGGGCCCTAAAGACAGCAATGGCTCATTTGTAAAAGGAGGTTTCAAGTATCCTAATATATAAGGTGATACATTTATGAATTCATTCCAACTACAGTACTACTATAAGGGTGAGCAATCTGCAAAAGTCCGGGGGCTGTACATCTCCATCCCTGGGTGTTGGGATGGGTGCACAGCACTGGTTCCCGTAACCTTCCAAGTTATAAAGAACAGATTACAATATAAAGAAACAGCAAAGCAAGTGAAAGTGAAACAAAAGGCATTGATAGAAAAAGTATAATGCATTTGCCAAGAGTCCTAAAATTGTGGAATATCACCTACTCTTCCTCTACCCTAGCACCAAAAATCACATTTCCTTTGCCAAAGTGACCTTTCATGAATCCACTGATTTTCTCTGCGCTCATAGGTGTTGAAATTACGTTAGACTGCTCTTGCAGTGGATACATGTTCCTTAAAGTATGTACTGCTGTAGGAGTTTGTGATCTGCTGCAAGTCTTAGGATCTGATGTAATAGCTAATTATATTAGTAGAAATATTTGACTATCTGGGTGTCTCTGAACTGAAGAAGAGCATCAATCTCCTTATTAAGTAATGAGTCAGCAGAATCATTCTGAACATACTGAAATCCAAGTTTATTGAAGTTCTATTGCTCTGCAATTGTGGGCATTTTCAGTGCAATGTGGTCATATAAGTGTGTCGTAGGTGTCTTGAGCAGTATTTTGTGAAAAAACATTTATTTTACCTCTCGCAAGGAGTCATTATGAAAACTACATAGGAATCCTAGCTCCCAGATCTTTAAGATGGTTTTCTATGTTGATGTGGCAGAACAAGGAACTCAAGATGAGATAAGATTACAGTATCTCATGACTGAGCTACCAACTCATCTTGTTATTGAACTAAATTATTTCATTACTAAACACTACTTATACCAACTGACTGATTTCTTTAATTATTTTAAATTTGGGCAATGATCACCAAATGTGATCAGTCAATATATCTCCCTGGACAGGATCACAAGAGTATTTATATATTTATACATTTATTTTCACCTTGCCTTTCTCCTTAGAAAGGACCCAAGGCAGCTTACAACAATGAAAGACGATATTTAAAGTTGAAAACAATGAGTATATAGTGGTAGTTAACATAATTAAAAGACAGTATTTAAAACTACAAACAATGAATAAAAAGGCATCTTACATGATTAACAGTCAATATTAAGGTAATATCAGTAAGTACACTATATATAAAAAACAAAAATGACACTCTGAGAAATGGAAAATACAAAAAAGGAAAACACAAGTAATACTAAAAATCCAGTCAACGCAGTAATTCATAGTAGTTTATCTAAAAACCACATACAGGTAGCTGGTTACTGAGGGAAGGCTTGCCCTCTTTTATTTATTTATATTTTATTTATATTTTTTATTTATTTGATTTGTATCTTGCTCCCATTAGTTTCACAGCACTACTCTGGGTGGGTTACAACTCATAAAATAGAAAACAAAAATAAAAATAGAGATATTAAAACAAACAGCAATCACCCTTTGCCTGCTTGCAGAAGGACAGCAAAGACGGGACCAGATTGGCCTCCTGGGAAGGGAGTTCCAAAATCTGGGAGAAGCAACAGAGAAGGCCCTCTCTTGGGTCCCCATCAGATGCACCTGTGAAGATGGTGGGACCGAGAGAAAGGCCTCTCTTGATCTTAACATCTGAGCTGGCTCATAGTGGGAGATATAGTCTTTGAGATAGCTCAGCCTCAGGACATTTGGGGCTTCAGACATTAAAACCAGCACTTTGACTTGTGTCTGGAAACTGATCAGCAGCCAGTGGAGCAGCTGTAATAGGTGGGTTATGTGATCCCTGTAACCAGCCCCGGTTAGCAATCTGGCTGCTGCATTTTGGACCCATTCAAGTTTCCTGATACTTTCCATCGGCAGCCCCACATAGAGCATTATAACAAAAAAATATCCCAGCCTGCACGAATTATGGAAATAAATTATCTTAAGACTTACCATAGGGCCGGGTGGACCTGGTAAGCCAGGAGGTCCTGGTTCAGATATGATCTGCATCTATGAATTTTGTTAAGATAGTGAAGAGACTTGATTTAATAATGTGAAACCATATAGGGAAAAACAAAAACTTCAGAATCAGGAGACTAATTATTTGTGGATGGATATACTCTTAAGAAAACAGAGAACATGGCAATTCAATATAGTGATAGTTGCACTAGTAATAGTGAAGCTGCAGTACCCATAGCTGTCCTAACAGGTCTGCAAGCGAAATAAGTAAGATGAGTGTACTTGCTCAACTCACATTTCCATCACTCTCTTCCTACAGAGAACAGCTTCCTGAAAAGCAGAATGCTCCCTGTACAGTGGACCCTCGACTTACAGACAGCTCGACTTACTGACTTTTTGAGTTACAGACTTCTCTGGCCGCAAAATTTAGATTCGACTTGCAGCCGGAGAATCGACCTACAGACCAGAAAAAAAACCAAAATGGAACAAAAATAGAATAAAAACTGCCAGTTATGGGATTAATCGGTTTTCAATGCATTGTAGGTCAATGGAGATTCGACCTACAGATTTTTCGACTTGCAGGCACCATTCCAATACTGATTAATTCCGTAAGTAGAGGGTCCACTGTATATGGCAGGTCTCAGGAAACCTATTGAGACATTTACCCACGTGCCCCGTTTATTATTCCCTCACAAAGGTGCATGCCATGTTCTCTTCTCGCTGCCACCAGTGGATTACTTCAATCCACAATATAAATGATGTATGTCAGAACACTTGTATTGTGAATAGAAACAGAACGTATTTATTGAAGTGAAGCAGAATGAGTAATAACAAACCTTTTGAGATATTCAGTATACATTAGCAATTTATCAACAGTTCCCTCAGTACATAGTTCTTTTAGCTTGCCATATCACTGCGACTCTCTCTACCTATTTTCCTAACCAGCCCTATCTCTCTCAATGATTAATCCTAACTATCTAACCAGCCCTATCTTGTGCCTCCTTCTCCAGCCAAGCCTCTTGTAGCTACTGACTCCGCCTCTCCAGCCCTCTCATAGGTTCATGCAAATCAGCTCATGAATATGAATGACATGAGTGACATGGGCATTTACTACATCTATAATTCTGAATCTTATGGATACATATAGAAGAACCTCTCTTCTTCAGAAATTAGTCTCAATATAACGAGAACCAAGGAAGTGACAAGAGAAGAGAAGGCTACGTATGCTCCCTTCCTCACATTGTATTTATCCTACACCAATAAGGCTTGAATAGGATTACCATTAATCTGTTCATCATTCTTACTCAAAAAAAAGTTGAAATAAAATGTCTAATCTCCTTGTAAGAACAAATCCTGAGTAAACTAGAACTCAGAGCATCTAGCTTGTTTTGAATTAGAAACGAACATTGACAACTGCTTTCGAGACAAGTGATTTGAAAATATGCACTTGACAGTGTATCTTCCTATATAAAAATCTATCAGCAAGTGACATCAACAGTTCCTTCACTTCTGCAGCTAGTTTTGATGGCATCCATCTGGCCTTTTAACTTTCTCTTTCTGTGAGCAATTCAGGTTAAAACAAGCCTTGTCTTCATAAGTGATTTTTCCTCTACTTTGAAGACAGTTGTACACAGGATTACACACAAAACCTGGACTCATCACCATCACATATATAAGTTTTCTTCTTCAACCCCACTTTGCCTCAATTCAGCAGAGTCTTGCCCACCTGACTCAGCAATTCAGCTCTTCTTAGTGCAGTAAGACAAAACTAATGCAGTTGCATTTGAATTATGGAACTTTCAGAGGATTGACCAAATCCCCACCAATTCATTTCACTTAGATTAGTTTGATTTCCTATGCTAAATAACAAGATTTCAACTATTAAGTTATTTGATTGGTCTACTCTAGTTGGGACTAGGAACTGGATTTAGGCTAATGTTATGTCAGCCCCTAGGTATCCTGATATATTAAAAATAATTAGACAAGGTATTTTAAGTTATGGGCAACTTACAAGATCCTGCTTGCAGGGTTCACCAGGTTCCCCTTTTGGTCCATCGATCCCCTACAAAGAAAGAAATGGTGTAGTATCCGAGGATGTATTTCTAGATAATCTAGACACATTCTTTCCCCTTTCTGATGTATCCTTCTGCATAAGCTTTCACTTCCAAAGCTTCTTCTTTATGCATCATTAGTCATGCTGTTGTCCTATACGTATTACTCTATTCCCTCCCTTTCACTACATTTACTCCCAAGTCCATGTTGACAAACAATTAGAATGGAGGGTTTGATCACATGGAGAAATAAACTGCAATTTGGACTCCTGGTGGAGTGATGTGGTGAGATCTCTTTCCTGGAAATCACATGATGAGGGAAATGCACTCCAGCCCAACCCTGATCTGTGCCCAAGCTGGATCTGTTTTGGTTTAGCTATAGGGCTACTACTTTTGGGGGCTGGGCTGAAGTGATTCTCCAGCAGATGCAAGGGTCATGTTAAAGCAACCCTTTCCAGTGCAATCATGTGCAAGATTTTGAAACTATCTGAATGAAATTTATTTAGCCTTAGTTAGTATAAAGGAAATTCTTAGAACCATCTCTTCAGATGACTGTCTCAGCTAAAGTATAAAAAAATCACCATATATACCATATACCTATGAACAATGAACAGCAATGATGGCAGATTCTCTTTTCAGCAACTTTCAAATCACCAACAAGTTTCAAAAAAAAAAAACAAAACAAAACAATACTGAAGACAGACATACCCGTGGACCAGATAAGCCCATTTCCCCAATCTCTCCTTTCTGCCCTATTAATCCAGGATTTCCTTGGTCTCCTTTCGCTCCTTTAGGACCCTATAATTTAAGGAAGGGAGAAGATGCCTTTTCAATTATCAGCATGCTTCTTATCTCAGCACCAGATGATCCAGAGAAATATGTCCATTAAAAAAAACTGAGCCTATGTAACCCCTATGAAATATTGGTTCACCCCAAAGGGGTGGGATTGAGAAGGAGAGGGTGATTTTTGAATCAGAAAGAACTGGAGAACTGAAGCAGCCAGAACAGCTGTTGCCTCTTAGACTGTGAAGGCCCATGACAACTTGATCTAGAATTTTGGAGATTCCGTGTGCACACCCAAACCAGCTGAGGAAGATGCCTTGCATTTTTATCTTTATTTGAATTCAAAGGGATAGGTGCTGTATAGGTGCTGTTGCCTAGGACTTGGGTGCACGAACTGTAGCATGCTGTTGTTGCAATTGCTCGTGTCTGCTATATAGCTGTGAATAAGAAAAGACTCATTTTGCGAAATTCCATTTGCAAGGTTCATCAATAGATACTGAAGTAAGAAAATGGCTCCATAGAACATAAAAGTGCTACACCTACAGATCTGTTACAGAACTCCTATTTAAAAAAGACATTAAAGGGAGATAGCATTTTAAAGGAGAAAGCCAAAGCAATATAGGACATACGCACTGGCTGAAAACCTGTTTGTGCAGCTACATCGCATAAGGATATCACTGTCATAGCTGCAGTGATTTTTTTAAAAGAAAACATTTCTGATCTCCCCACCCCTACCCCTTGGGTCTCTAGGCTTCCAGGGAATCCATTTCATTCTGAAGTCATCCTCGTGGTGGCAGTTTTTGGAACTGAAAGACGTCCGTGCCCCATAGTCTCCAATGGCTTCCCCATGACAAAAGGGATTCCTTAGGAGTCTCAGGACCTTCAAGTGGGAAACTGGAAATGTTTTACTCCTCAAAAATTGCTGTGGCTGATGGCATAGTAAGACTCACAAGGTATAACTTATGGAACAATACTTTAGCCACTGTATGTGGAAGGCTACCTTTAAAAAGTTTTCATAAATGCATGGCAATTAATAATTCCCTACTGCAACTTCCCACAAAATGTTTATGGAGCAGTGGGCTCAAAGCTCTTTTGCTACAGGATCTCCTTTGAGAGGCAGTTGTATAGCGACCATGTTATATCTAATGCTTCCCCCTCAACCATCCAGCTGCACATACGCTTCCTGTGTGGCTGCCATTTAAGACCTTTTAAAAAGTTACATAACTCTGAATTAAAACTAGTAGCTCCATGGTAATAGCACCTGCTTTGCATTCCCAGGATTCCAGATTCTATTTTCAGTATCTCAAGGCTGGGCTGGGCAAAAAGCCTAATTGAAAATCTGAAAAGCCGCTGCTGGTCAATGTCAACAATCCTGGGGCAAGAGACTATCTCAGTAAAAGCCATCTTACGTACTGACGTGAACAGTGGGAGGGGCAAAGGATAAAGTAGCTGAGGGAGGAGTGGCCATTTCAAACTCTAGCCAATCAGCTTTCTCGTTAGGATCCACTGTTCTCTTTAAACTACATGGCTCTGTCAGAGAGCTTCACTGAAGAGACACTGTTTAGGAGATTTGAAACTCTCTGTGTTTGCCAACCAAGTAATTCACTGAGCAATCTCCCTTAACCTTCAGATTATACCATAAGGTGATGGACAGGATCTAAAACTATAATATGAACAACAGCAGAAACTGAAGGTGGCACCTTCCCAGATACTCTCACATACATAGTCCCCCTGCTTCACGTGTGTGTGTTCTTCACTTTGTATATTTAGAATGTGCACCTATGGAAAAGAGTCATAATGAAAGCTATCAAAACTATACATACGGGTAGACCAGTCATGCCAACTTCTCCAATCTGTCCTACTGGGCCAGGGCTTCCTTGGTCACCTTTTGATCCTTTAGGACCCTGCAAATTAAGCAAATGAAACTGATAAGAGGCTAGTTTCTTAATTAGTAGCACTCATGGCTTTCAGCACTGCTCCTTGAGACTGCACAAAATTTTGCATCTATAAGAAAGAGGAACTGCTTATGACGAGAGATGGGGGTATGCATATATGAATATCCCTGCACAGCTGGACTGAGGGTTGGACCCCTGGGGCCGGACCATCCACTTACGCATCTGCCATGGCAGTGGCCTCACTCATCCTTCCAATCACTCCTGGACCGTCACTCTCTTCCTGCTGGGCTAGCCACTCTACGCAGGGGGAGGGAGGAACAGTCGTCCTTCATGGCTGCTGAGTAGCCAGCTGAGCAGGAAGAGAAAGGTGCTCCAGGAGCGATTGGAAGGATAAGTGAGGCTGCCACCACTGGCAGATGTGTGAGTAGGTCCATTTGAATCAACTGAACTTACAAAGGAGCTGACTTACCGAATCACTGCTGATTTAGTGGGCCTACTCTAAGCAACTCAGTCACTGAATTGAAGGATGATGTTCAAACCCTTTCCCCCATTTTACTCTGAAAATGGCTCTGTAAGCTAGGTTTGGCTAATCTTACTGACTCAAGTAAAGTTTGTGACTTAGCAGTGAATTGAACTTGTATCTTAATGTTCCAAGTCCAACACTCTTAAACCAGTGGTTCCCAACCTGGGTTCCTCAGAGGTTCTTGGACTAAAACTCTCAAAAGCCTTCACCACTAGCAGTGCTGCCTAGGAGTTCTGGGAGTTGTAGTCCAAGACCCTCTGGGATCCCAAGGTTTGGAACCACTGTTGCAAACCATGAGATTCTGATCTTCGTCCATTAGATCAGGTAGATGCTATTTAAATAATGACAAGGCTAAAATATATTGGCAGAGAAACAGTGCAATTATTAATGTGCTTAATATGAAAACATCCACATTAATTATAATATTGTGCAAAATTGATGGCTACATATCTCATTAACTCAGTAATAAATTCCACTGAATTCAATGGCACTTAGAGATGAGTGAGTACAAGTCTATGCAGTTCCTGTCTATTCCACCCATATATATGTATTAATATTATCATATTAATTCCACAACAAACCTTTTCTCCATCAACTCCAGGTGGACCAGGCAATCCAAGCTCCCCCTAAAACAAATTTTAAAAGGGGTTAGTGACATCAGTTACTAGCTTCCAAATGCATTAAAATAAAATTAAAGTCCACAAAATAACTGTGTATGTTTCTTGGATTGTGTATCACAGTGATAATCAACATTTTAAGGTGCATGAAAAGTCTTGGATTTTGTATGTGAAGGGCCAGATAAGCTGCAACCCAAAATTCATTTACATGGAAGTAAGTCCCACTGAATTTAATAGGACTCAGTTCTGAGTAGACACATAAACAATTGTGCTTAGAAAGGAAGGATACACTGTATTACTTATCAACAAATTCAAAATATTAATTTTTAATTGAAGGACTGATATTATAAGAAGTTGTAGCTACAATTTCTGAACAGGTGTAATGGTGCTACAGAATAATTTTCTGTATGTCCTTAGTTTCCTGCCAAACTTTGTGCTTGTTATATAACGGTTAGTCTCTAATCCCCAAAGTTTTTCAAGCTGAAACACCATTAACAGGAACATTAATACACAAACCAAAAGGAGACATACAAAACACAACGTATATTTTGTGTAAAAAGGAATTAAGTCCAACCTTTGGTCCAGGAGCTCCTTGAGGGCCCGGCAGCCCTTGAGGACCTGGTGGGCCCTGTAACAAAAAGTCAGCCAGTTGCATATTAAGTGATGTTTACAAAATCAGTATTTGGATTAATGAGGTATCAAAAATCTTCTGAAGATCAAGCAGTATTGTTTATATTTTGAAAAAAACAATGGTATAAATGTCTGTGTTCGGTGTGATCCAGCAAAACAAAGCATCTTCCCCAAGCAAACGAGGTCACAAATAAAATTTCTGGTTAAATTCATACCATTTAAAAATTTGACAACATGTCCCTTATCAGAGCACAAAAAGTTTCTGTCGCTTTTGGTGGGCCATATCCAGAGGTCTGGGGTTACACCTACCCACTCCCTGGACTCTGGAGGCTGTATCCACTCCCATGACTCCCATCTCTTAATGTTGTTTTACAAACTGTTTTTTTTAAAGTGAAAAAGCTCCATTTAAAGACTATTTTAAAAATGGTTTGGGGGCAAAGATGACAGGGTCCCTCAAAACAGGCACAAGTAGACATTCCGAACCATTTTTAAAATTATTTATTTATGTATTGAATTTATACCCCGCGCCATCTGGCAGCCAGGCCACACTGGGCAGCTAACAACAACAAGACAGACAACACAATATTAAAACACAATAAGAATAAAATAATACAAACATTCAACAGATACAGTAACTAGTAGGATAAATTAAAACAGATGGCTATAAAGATGGTAGAAAAGATGACGAAAGGATGGCAAAAACGATGATAAAAGGGAAGCAACTTTTTAAGAAACAACTGAAAACATGGATGTTTAGACAGGCCTTCCCCCTTTCCAGCTAATTCCTAAGTATTCTTTTTTCCTTTTCTGCTACAATATACCCTGTTTCCCGCCATCTTTGGGAAATATTTTATTTTATTTTATTTATGCAAATTATGTTATGTGATATATTATATGTTTAATTGTTTTATAGTGTGTGTTGTAAGCCGCCTATCTAGTCACAATTGACTAGATAGGCGGGGTATAAATGAAATAAATAAAATAAATAAATAAAATAAGCAGAAATATCAGCAACTTAATGCTCATATTGGGAAAGCCTGATGGAAGAGTGAAGTTTCCAATGCTCATTTAAACCCGTCCAATGAGGGTACCAAGCGTATCTCCATGGGCAGATTTTTCGATGGGCAGGGGGCAACCACCGAGAAGGCCCGGCTTCTTGTTCTTTCCCTCTGGGCCCCCTTCGGAGTCAAGGCCCGTCAACCGCCCTGCCTGTGAAGAACGGATATTTCGAACAGATCTGGCTGGGATCAGGTGTTCTGCTAGCTACCAAGGTCCTAAACTGTTTAGGGCTTTTATATTAAAAGGGGGCCTTCTAGGGGTACCATCTGAGGTACTGTACATATGATGTATGAAAAGGTCCTGTTCGTTGCCGTATGGAAGCTTTACTTTGATTCTTCCATTAGCAGCAGTGAGTCTGCGCATTTTCCACATTAAACATCCTGGTGCAATTCTTTCTCCTTATCTTACACAGGCCCTGGCCGTATGCCTGTAGTAGTTTTCAAACAGCTGTTCCTCTTGAAAAAAGTCACTCAAGAGAAACAACAGACCCCACAACACAGATACTGACACAGGGCCTAGGCTTTGGGGCAGACTCTTGTGCCAGTTCTGTCCTTGTTCTTACTCTAACAACCTGATTACAAAACCCAACAATGTAATCCAGAACATCAGTGGTTTCTATCCCTGCACATCTTCCAAATCATTTTCCAGCAATGCATTACTGTATCCTATGTCAGAATCGCCCAATTCTCCTCGCCCAATATAATTATCTCTTTAGGGAGAAGTGATTCTGACATCCTCCATAGGACAAGCAGGCAAATCCTGCATCATCATCATCATCATCATCATCATCATCATCATCATCATCATCATCATCATCATCATCATCATAAAATGGCACAAATATGATTTGGGGGCAATAGTTACAAACCAGTAGGGAATGCTTCAGGTTTCCAGAATACTTTATCTATGCTATGACCAAAAGTGGCCATTTTAATAGAATCATTATTTATATTTTTATATACAGTACACACAATATTATTTTTGAAAATATTGCAAACTCAAAATAGGGTTTTCAACAATAAAATAAGAGAAAATTTAGATATAGCACCTTCATTAATCACTTTAAAATTATAATTATTACCAATCAAACTCTAGTTTTTTCTCTTTTGTTTTCAGAGACGTTTACAAGCCCACAAATATGGATATAATCCAGTTTTCTATAAAGCACATATGTCAAACTCAAGGCCCACGGGCCGAATCCAGCCTGCCAGCCCGTTTCATGTAGCCCTTGCAGTGTTGCCTGCTACTGTGGAATATACAATACTCGGGTGCTTACTTGGTCACCCATAATGCTCCACAAGATGCTGGGCATCCGCCCAGTGGGACTTCTAATCCCAGCATTCCAAGCAACGAAGAGTCAGAAAGTGATAACTGAATGAGGAGGATTATATTTAATATGATAAAAAGTAGATACATTGATATAGTATTACTGATACAACCGGCCCTTTGAGGGCAACCATAATGTTGAGGTGGCCCAAGAAGAAATTGAGTTTTACACCTCTGCCATAAAGGCACTGCCTTTCTAAGAGATTCAGATTCTTAGCCGCCCACAGTGGTAGAATATACCAGATGGGCGGGATATAAATAAAATAAAATAAAATAAATAAATGTATCCGATAAAACTACTGTACAATGGCTGAAATCCTGTTACTTAGCATAGTAAGTCTACACTAGAGTAGGCCCACTGAATCAGTGGGGATTTGATGAATCAACTCCTCCATAAATTTCATCGATTCAAGTAGGCCTACTCTAGTTGCAATGTACTATGGTAAGCAACCGGATATCAGCCAATGTTTATTTTTCAACTAACACTATTTGTTAACTACTTCTAGCACTATCATCAATACAGTACTCATAAATAAAGGAACTTGAAAGGACAAGTCAAATATGAAATCATTGAACAACAATTCCTTACGAGATATAAGCCTCTCTCCCATGGTTTGAATAAAGATAAATGTGCCATATGCTCAGCAATGTAGTGATGTCTCACTAGTTGTTTTGTAAATGACACTGTTAAGACAATTATTACATACCAACCATCAGTTTATATTAAAATATGTGGTAGAATGTGCAGTAAAATCTAACCTCTTTGGACTGAATAACAGGCAAAGATAGCAAATCTTAAAGCAATGACATCTTTTCAGATAAAATATGTTTTCTGAAAAAGATACATGGATAAATTTTTGACATGATCTGCCAGGGATATTGAAAACTTAATTTACCAACTCAGTATAGACTTAATGAGTGGTTCTGTGTAGCTCACTGGCAGAATACATGCTACATAGGTGCATGCACAAGGTGAAGTTCAATCCTTGGATCTCCAGGTGGAGCTAGGAAAAAATCTGTCCTAAAACCCTGGACAGTCACTGTCAGTCAGTCACACACTGTCAGTCAGTCACACAGCCAAAAATACACCTGGGGATTTGACCTGTGTTAAAAACTGTGCTGAGTCTCAAGTTCACACAATGAATTCTAAAGTGCATCCCCCCTCCCCCGAGTTGTATTATTTTCTTAGGAGGCGAGTTAAAATAAATGTCCACCAGAGGTTTTTTTGTACTAGCACACTGTTTTCTTAACTGACTTAAGGCACTGTGAACATTACTGCCAGTTTAAAAAGAGAGCATTCAATTACTCAGTAGGAATGCATGAAATGACTTAAATAAACCCCACAGGACATGAGTCAGTTAAAATGAAAAGCTACATATTGTGGGTTTTTTGAGAAGTGTAGACAAGCTGGACTGGGTTTCTAACTCAGTATGAACCATCTTGCTGTGCGGCTACATTCTCGCAAGTCGAATGTCTACTAAAGCACTGTGTGAAAAGTATTACCATTAAAGAAATACATGCAATTGACAAAATTCTGCATCCCATGATCAAATATTTTGAGTATTTAGCTCTCACAAGGGATTTCCTTCCTTAGTAGGAGAAACTGGAAGAAGGAAATCTGTGAATAAACCCCAAACAGTGTAAAAACTTTTGATATTCTTCCCCTTTACAATTAAATTGTTCGCATATTACATGTATTACAGTGATACCTTGACTTAAGAACTTAATTCATATTGGGACTGCGTTCTTAAGTTGAAACGTTCTTAAGTTGAAGCACCATTTCCCATAGGAATGCACTGAAAACCATTTAATCTGCATCTGTTGGTTTTTGTTCTTAAGTCGAAGCATTAGTTCCCATAGGAACTAATGCAAAGCCGGTTAATCCGTATCTGCCTCTAGAGGGCGAATTTTTTCTTCTTCTTTTGACCTAAGGTGAACTTAGGTCAAAAAAAGGGCAAAAAAGGTTTTTTTTTTTCTTCTCTTTTTTTTTGCTTCTTAAGTCAAGGCTCCGTTCTCAGGTCAAAGCAACTTTTTGTGAACGGAGCCATTCTTAACTCGAATCATTCTTATGTAGGGATGTTCTCAAGTCGAGGTACCACTGTACACTGTACATACACTATGATGGCTGTAAGAAATATTTATTTGTGTACAGATGTCCTAGAATCCAGCATATGAACTATGATTGCAGTTGTACACAGCTTTAGTAAATGCACACAGATCTCATGAAGAGCCCATCACACATTACTGGGGGTGGAACTGACGTTGCACTACAGGTCCAACTCGCAGACATCCACATGCTGACATGCATGATTTGCACTGAACCTATCTGTGTGTGAACAGATAGATGCTTGAGCAAAATCTTTCATACACTAGCAGTTCAGACTCTGTGGAGATCCTATCATATGGAAGCTTATGTACAAATATATGCTCAGTGCCACAGCTGCACCAAAAGACATGGGTAGCTCAGGACTGGGGACAGCAGCCAGACTCCACCCTTGGTAACTGTTCTGCTCCCTTAATGTGTTACACTATGTGAGCGCAGCGCTATCACTGTGTGAATGACAAATGTATGGCTACTTTCTTGATTTGTAGCCCTCTGCAGGATCCCTGAATCATGACACTTTCTGGACCAGAGAAGTTGCCACAAAAGATTTTGAAGTTGCCCTTTCTTTTTACTGACAGAAAACAAGAGTCAGAGGTTGGATATGCACGGCAACTTTATACACAACATTATCTGTGCAATGAAACATACTGAACACACAAAAGCCATGCCTGTAACCATTTTAGTTACTTGAGCACCTGGCTTGATACTTCCACGCTTCTGTTTCTCTACGAGAAAGAAATGGCAGCATCCCTTGACAGTTCCATTCTCCTAAGGTAGGAGTGCCAGGTATGACTGTAGTATCTATTTTGCTTGAATGCCATCCCGTTCATTTCAAGGAGAGAGTCAAGCATATTTTTGGAACGATGCCCACTGAGCTTTCAAAAAAGCAAAATGACTGTAGCATCCATTTCAACAGGTTCAACACAGTCATGATTCACAGCATACATCGGTCATGCTGCAAGCAGTATTAACTCAATGATTACTAGTCATTATGTTGTTAACAGAAACCAAATGTTTTGACAGCATCTTTGCAGCCATCCTAATTCAGAAATCTGAAGCATGAAAAACGCATGCTAGGTCACGCCAACAAAGCCAGTCCAAGCAGGCATCTGATACACAGCTATTACCGTCAGTTTGGGTTTCCCTGCTGCCTGTTATAAAACAATCAGGACAGTTTTCAAATATATTCAAAATCAAATATTTATGCCATTCAAATAATATGACATAAGCTAAAATGAAAGTTTCAAGCCATGTTTCTTTTTCTCAGTGGAAAAAGTCATACACTTGGTTTGCTCAGACTTGTTATCATATAGTTTCCTCTATACAGTATATCCGAAAGGAAATGCTGTACTGACACTCCATCCCGCTACATGTGTTGGTTTTCTCATACTCGTTATTCACCCACAGATGAACCACACAGTCTGTGAGATAACTAACACCTGTCAATCATGTGTGTTACTACTTGTGTGCCACTTGAAGGAGCTGTGGGCCCACATGTTCTGTGGAATTGCAGGCAGCCATCACTGAAACCTAATTCATTCTTCAAAAGTCCCTGGTTTATGCCAAATGTTTCTGAATCTGTCCGCAGCTATATTCACTAGTTACCAGACATTTTGAGAAGCTCACCACAATTGAAAAGTTCTGTGATTTTTGCTCAGCTACATTTCTCCTCTTCAGAAACAACATGGGAAACAAGTTAGGGTGCACTCCAACTCAAACCCAAGTAGCAGCCGTAGCTTATTATGAATAATAGAGAGGACTGGAGATGAACTTTATGAAACCAAAGCTACACTCTGTAACTCTCTGGCTTGCCCACCACACTTTTTTTTTCAAAGCTCCATTTTCCTTGATTTCCCCCCTCTTTAGCAAAAACATTCTGGCAACACGGACAACTTCCTGACGTCACACAACTCAGAACTGGCATATATATGTGGCTCTTGGCCTCTCTAGTGTGACCTGCTACTGAGCTCTAGAAATCTCTATCACTTTTTTGTACCTCCTCATCCACCACTCATGAGCTGGGTGGTGGGTAGGAAGACTGCTGTGGAATCTTTACCGGAATCCAAAAGGTGACTGAGATTATTCTGAATCTCAGTGCAGGCAAAACTAAAAGCTTCTATCCTGCTTATCTGCATCGGGATCACTGACAGAGAGTGGCAAGTTTGAAGACTCCCCTAGAACAGACCAATCCTAGTTGTGTGTATCAGTGAGAAAGCAGATTGGGGGGGAGGGGAGGGGTGAGAAGAGGTTTCAGTTTTTATGTATGTGAGCATTAGTGTATGGGAAGGTTCTATGGCTATGTGTTTGTATGAAAGTGAGCGGGTATGTTTAAAAGGAAGATGAGTGAATGGGACACTGTGGGTCCCTATTCACGGCTACTCATCCAGTTACACTAACAGTGAATGATGTCCTGAATCTTCAAAATAAGACTCTATGTGGGTCCTGCTGAATTCTACTGGTGAGCATCAATTTTGCCCTCCTTTTCTGCTTATGGACCTTCTACCCTCAGGCCTGTGGTTGCTGCATGAAACAAGAGTACTAGACAGATGCACTATCAGTTTGATCGAGCAGGGCTCTTCTTATGTTTTCACCAGTTGGTTAGAGCAATTGATTTAGGCAGGAGCTTGGTGCTACCATATTATAGAATAAAAGTCACCTTGAACGCTTCCAGAATTCTGCCATCATAATCAATTACTACAGTATCACCCTGTTCTCCTTTCAGGCCTGGAGGACCCTAAAAAGAAGAAGAAGAAGGAGAAATAGTACTTGAGCACCTTATGGTAACAGACATGATATTCAGTTTTTCACAGGTTATTATTAGGAAGCCATAGTGCATTTTAATTCAGCACTAATATGTTTCAGTGATTTAAACTCTTATATGTCACCTATGTGTGTGCAGTCTCAGTGAGGAGGCCCTGTTCCTTAGTTAATATAGATTGGTAGATTATCAGGGACAGGTAGGGATGGAAAATAATTTCATTGGATTAAATTTTCAATTGAAATCCAGTGTAATCCAGCTCCATCGGAAACTCATTGCACGGTGCAATGCGGCTTGCCATAAGGATTCACATGCTTGCGAGACTTGAAATGCAGTTTGAAGAAATAATGCACATGAAAAGCAATACACCTTTATGAAGTAGGGATGGCTAAAAATGCCTCCAACTGAAAAAAATATGCACAAATAGTCTTTAGTCAATGGAGAAGATGTACATTTGAAGTGAAAATGTAAATAAATATATATCAGGAAACTACATTATTTATATAAAGACATTTTATCTCCATCCTTGTGCGTGGGTGGGTGTGTAGTGCCAACTGTAGCAGCGACACTTTGTTTACCAGGGAGGAACAGACAAAAGTTATACTTTGCTTATGCCACAAACAGGATTTCAGCCAATGAAATAAAAGCAGAGATATTTTAATATCCTTAAGCTCACACCCACTTCATTTGGCAATAACTTAGCTGTAAGTCTGAAGATACTATAAAAATATTGTATGTGGGGAAAAATAGGCATTCATAAGTTTGTTTTGGGCTTGATTATAGCATGCTTTAAATAGCTTTAGTTTTCTTTAATCTAATCCTTTTTCCCTTCTGAGTCCCTAATTTCTTTCAGGATTTTCAGCAGCCTAGGAAGCAACTAATGTTTGTGTTCACCCTCATTTGAGTTCTCATTAGATCACTAGAGAAATGTCAAAGTTCCAAATCTCCATCAAGTAATTTTCTGTTCCACAATATTTACATGGATATGTACTTTAACTTGGCCTAGCACAATAGATGAGAGAGAAAATGCACATTTTTCTATTACTAGTTTTTACACAGTAAATAATTACCCTGCATGTTTATCTCAGTTTCATCTTTAAAATGGAAAAAGATTAATGTGATTATAGTTTGAGAGTTTATTTTAGGGAGTTAAAGAGAAAAAGAAGAATTCATACCCTTGGCCCAATATATCCATCTGCTCCTCTTTCACCAGGTTCACCCTGAAAATAAACAATGTTTGTTATTTTAAAGTATTAATAAGTAAATCTAGTTGATATGTAGTGTGTCTTGAGGAGCAAAACATAAGCAGTCGCAGCTTTAAAGGCCTCTGAAAATACTCTAGCTGCAAAGTAAATCAGCCGGATCAGATACAAGGCAAAAAAATCTCCTGCAGGCATTGGAAAACCTCATCATGTAACATTATCCACACCACAAGGCTGCGAAACCAAGCAACACAGTTTAAAGGACTATGAAATTGAACTGGCAAACAGTAAAAAGACAAAATGACAGTCTGGCATCTTGGTGTTACAAGCTAAGGCCATTTGAAAAGAGAGTATAAAAGATTCAATTTGAAAAGATTCAAGTATAAAGGGAGTCATAGGTTATTACAGTTTGATGCAGACTTTGTGAAATACAGACAAAAAGAAGAGCAGATTGGCCAAACAGACTTTATATAAACACAATAAATGCCTCCTTTTTGGTGTAATTCTTTTATATGCAGGAAAAGGTTTGTGGTACATAAAAGAATCAGTTCCAAAATGTCGTATCTTGGTATGAAGGCAGATGAACAATAAAAACATATTGGCCATATTGGCGACATCCTCCTTGCCCAAGAGAACTGTCCGAAGACGTGTGCCACTGAACAGGCCATGGGTTCAAGCTGCCAGTCTAGCTTGTCTCAGCTTGCTAGCTTGCTCACACCATCAGAATGTAAACAATGGAGTCCCTTTCCCCACAATTACTTGAAAAATGACAAATGAAATATTCATGGATCAGTTTAAATCGTGAAGCTGGAGGCTGCTCTGTTGACCCTGTTCATCTTATGCCTAAAATCGAGTAGCAAGTCACAACAAGAGCAGAGCACTGGATCAGTGAGGATGGAGTGAGTCAGCGCCTCCGTACAGTCTATATATTCAGTTCTAGCTGTGACTTGCTATAGGATTTTAGCTAGTGAATCTAGGCATAATATCAACTGGGTTAACAGAATGAAAAGAGGAATAGAAAACAACTCTTTTTTTCTCCCTATAGTTAAAGAAATATTGAGGTTGAAACTCTGCATCTTTGCATTTAGCATGCAAGTTTCAAAAAAACAGAAGTTGAATGCTTGGGTGGGATCATAAGCAATTGGATCAGAATTAACATGGAAAGAGAATAGAACCCCCTTCTCCTCTGCTGGGATCCTGAAGAAAAACATCCTTTCAAACATGGCTGTTTTTGCTGGAGAGGGGGTTTAATTCTCACATTGCCACCGTTTAAGATGCATTTAATGTCATGTCTAGTTGGATTCTGAGAGTTTCTTCTGTTAACAGAGATTCACTGGTTATGGGCACTCCACATGAAGGGAATGAATCAAAGAGCTAACAAGAGGTTGTCAGGTCATCTGTGCAGTTTGCTTTAAGTCTTATGTGAAGCAGAATCAATCCAGGTAAATGAGGTAAAGCTCTTTCTCATTATATGATTCATCCTTGAAAGTTTGCAGCAAATGTAATGTGACAAGTGAGGTATTTTTTAAAAAAAAGAATTCACAATATTTATTTCAATTCTCAGTTTCATTTTGGGCATTGTTACATTAAGGTTGATTATGCCAAAGATATTCACCATATCTTACATTTGACCTTCTAAATATACTTTTGAAGAAACATACTACAGTATGCCATCTGCCATTTTAGAAAGACAAATCATTAAAACCCAAGCAGAACCGGCACTGGGTAGTATTACTGCTGATTCCCGGGAAGCCAAGAACAAAGCTGATATTTTCTCAAAGCACAAGCAAACCAGCCAGACACCCCCACCCCAACAACTTGTGCATATATACACACAATATACACATATATACTGTATTTTTTGCACCATAAGACTCACTTTTTTCCCACAAAACAGGGGTGTGGAAAGTCTGTGCGTCTTATGGAGCGAAGAAAACAGATTATATTTTCCTGTTTTCTTCTCCTAAAAAAATTGGTGCGTCTTATGGAAAGGTGCGTCTTATGGAGCGAAAAATACGGTATATGTCAAGTGTAAGGATAAAATACGTTCTGCATTAGTTATTTTATGGGTCCATTATATAGTAACCCAAGAACTAAACTTCAAATAAACTGTTAAAGCCTCACATTTCATCTTCCAAATTGTTTAAAGTCGCTTTCTCTCACTTCAAGGAAACGAATACACCACCTTTAAAATGGCCTAAATTGCTCATACAGTTTGGTATTCATTTGGCCTCTCATTATCATTTCGATCATCTGACTGATCAATACTACCTTAATTGGCTGTTTGGTACAGCCAGCACTCTATGCTCAGACTATTCTGGATTTTATTTCAATATTTTATTGGTATTTTATAATGTAGCATTATTGGCAAAAAAATCCTCTTATGTAATGGAAATCAAATGATATAACTCTGGGAGGCAAACTGCCTCTAGTTCAGAAATCATCACAGACATTATCTGTTGTGCTCACCACTTAGGACACACCAGATAGGGTCTAGGGAGATTTCTAAACTTGAGTGAATTCCCTTGTGTCACACTGGCATCACGACACAAGAAGACTTTGCCCATTACTGCTATCTTACCTTGTGGCGAGATATGACTATGAGTACAACTTTGTAGTGAGCTGGCAAAAGAAAAGGTATAGCCTTTCTTCTCCTGCCAGTGTTTGCTGTAACAAATAAAAAAGGGAACCCATCTATCCTATCAATTATCTGTGCATGGAGCGCAAAATCTTACAAGAGGCAGGCCGAGAAGTCACTAGGCAAGGCAACATGGGTGTGCGATACCAGCATTGACAGCAAAGAACACCCTGCTAACAAATCAGCATTTTCTGGTAGCTGTCTGTCAACTCCAGCCAAAGCTCATTCCATCACCATCTTTCCAAATGGAATTCCCAGTGCATAAATCTCTGAAAGTCACACTAGCTGTGCTCTGCCTTAGCACCAGCCATCATGTGAACAAAACAGGAAAAGGTGCTTCACCCATTCAATAAGAAATAGCATTTTATATGAATGCATGTCTCCCCATTGCCCGATAACCATGCAGAGCATCTGGCATGCCCCCTTCACCTGTTACATGCATTTCAAAAGCAAAGTGGAATCTCTAAGAGGAGGGGTAATGGCTTATGGGTGGAAACGGTTGCAGAAAAATGGCCAGTATAGGATAGTTAAGCACTCCAACTGGTTTTCTGCTCTAAAACTGCACTTCCCAAACTCATTACTGTACAGTACATTACTTATTGTGCTGCTCATTACTTTTCATGTTGAGGTGCTTTTGGGGGGAGGGGAATATGAGTGATAAGAACTTGAAAAATTCCTCTCACAATACCCCCAAAAATGCTTTTTTAAAGACACAAGAAAATAGTACTCATTACACCAGTAATTACTTCATTACAAGAGAGAGAGAGAGAGAGAGAACTAGTTAAAGGTAACTATATTAGCTGCAATTTCTTTCTTCCAAACTCTTGGACCATCGGTTGTTGTGGGTTTTTCGGGCTCTTTGGCCGTGTTATGAAGGTTGTTCTTCCTGATGTTTCGCCAGTCTCTGTGGCCGGCATCTTCAGAGGACAGTAACCTTCAGAACACGGCCAAAGAGCCCGAAAAACCCACAACAACCATTAGATCCCGGCTGCGAAAGCCTTCGCAAATATCATGGACCATCCTTGCTCTGCCATACTTTGCACCAGCACGGTGGTACTGGAAACTGGAGGAGGTTTGGATTTGGAGTATCTCAGGTTCACTGCTTCTTTTCTCCTTCGATTGTCTTAGTAAGCAGTGCAATTGTGCCAGCAAATCATTCAGTCAGCAGGCCTCAGATATCAGTCAGCAGAAGGGCCTGCCACCCACTACGTATCAAAAGACTGATCCTAATCCCTAAAGCTAGTAAAATTTAAGAATTATTCTGTGATTAAGAAGGAATCTTCTCTAGTGGGAATTCTTCAGCTAGAAATGTTTCCTGCAAAATGCCAGCACACTAAAACTGGCTTTTTAATAAGTACAGTGGTGCCCCGCATAACGAGGTTAATCCGTTCCGGATTAACCCTCGCTATGCGGAATCGTCGCTAAACGGGTAGGGGAAACGTATTGAAACGCATTAAACTTAGTTTAATGCGTTCCAATACCTTGCTTACTTACCCGTTCAGCGAGGATTCCCCTTGCCGGCAGCCATTTTCGCGCCCTCGCTAAGCGAGGGCAGGGCGC